GTTGACATTAATGAAATACAGCAACAGAAATTGTCCAGTGCAGTCCTTATTACACTTAGAAATCTCCCCACTATCGGCAGCAATGTATAGTCACAGGCACAAGTGAGCAAAGAGGTTTAAATATGTACATAAAGTTTGCATATGGAGAATCCAACATGATAATTACATTATCATGGTAATTACACCCATGTCAGCACTGAAATTTATCTTTAGTTGATAGGCAGGTTGAAGAAAATAAGGAGGAGCTGGCATGTCAGTGCAGCAGGAGCGAAGATGAGTTGTCATACACAAAAAAGTGATATTTTATCTTTCCCCTCCATTTTTCTCCTCTTCCACCCACATGCAGTCAAATGGTCTGAGTGAAATGTGTTCTTTTAAAAGGATTGAACCGTGTGATTGAAGCTTAAAGGTAATTTTGACAAATAGCTTTTCAGTGGTTGAGGAAATGAGTACATCTCCACTGACAGACTTAAAGTAACAGCTGAAAGGAAGATAAAGTCCTGCTGTATCACACAAGGTTAAATATGAAGCAATCATGTACGGGACGAGTGAACAAGGAGAGAAGGAAAATCTATTTGTGAAGTAGCCTCGGCATTACCGAACATGACAAAAAGTCTCATCTCTGACCTCTCCATCTTTGTCAGGAGTGTTTGTGAACAGCTTCCACAGTCTGGGAGGCCTGGATGAGGACAGAGAGAGTTATTGGAAGGTCAATTGTCCAGGTAGTCAATCTATACTATTAACTGATGTATTGATCCATCATGTGTTTGATCACTCTGTCAGGTAGAGCAGAGGCAGGTGAGTTCTGAGCAATCAATCTCCAGCAGTCTCACATACAGCCTCCAGCTGGTTGTCGATTGGCTGCAAGAGTCTGCTGATGAGCCAAATGTCTGAAAGGCCCCAAGGGAAATCAATGCACAGCCCCACACAAAGATTTTACACTTCATGTTCTTTAGTTGATCATATGTCTGAAAGGTAAATCACAGGTTCATGTACAGTGCTGTTATAGAGTGAAAAAAAGACAACAAATCAAAAAGCTGAAATACAGTTTTTTGATTAGTTTTTTTTAGTTCTTCCGGCTGAGTTAATAAATCCTCTTGTTTGGTTAAGTAAATATATAGTTCAGCTAATCAATGCCTTTCCTAGTTACTGTTGCTACAGCTGTCAAGTTTTCAGGTTCAGTAAACAGTTGGGGAAAAAATAACAGCAATTGATGTAACAGTCGAAGTTCTGACTCAATTTGACACGGAAACAATGAGGTCATCTTCGATTTATGACAAGAAAAGAAAAACATTTTGGATGCTTGGCTTACAAAAAACAAGTGAGATGATGACTGTGCTTGAATGAGCCTCTAGCAAAGAAGTGTATAGTGCACAGGTGAGCTCCTAGTTTATGGAAACCTCCACAAAACTGCAGTGTGGATATGATCAATTGTTTTTGCAGCAAGACTCTGGAAGCATTGGAATGCTCAATATTTGCACAAGAATTTTATGATGTTGTGGGGAAATAAAATATTTATTTTCACATCCACAGATAATGTCTAAAATTATCCAGTGCCTGCAGCTACTTTAGTTGGCAAGATTGCACTGTTAGTCTGATTATTTGCTGATGTGTCAGACTAATGTAAAACCTGTGCCAAAATTGTGTGGAGATGGTTTTGATTGATAGCTATGGACGGCAGACTTCAAGACCCATATACAGGGAGTCAACTAAAAACAGACTCTAACAGCTGGTGATAAGCTTGCAATAAAGAAAATCCCAAATGGATGATCAATAAAACAGTGCTGCACAGTGTATAAGGAGAGGTTACTATATAATGAGTAAAACAAGGTATTTATACACCGAGGGATGACTGGGGAAACGGGAAGAACAAGTGCCAGGTCAGAGTAATTACACACAGGTGAGAGCAATCAAGGGAAGCCAGAGAAATAAAACTATCACAGGATATGGAAGAAAATAAAATTTCAAATTAAAACAGGAAGTAACCAAAAGATAACTAGTAAACAAACAGACTTAAAGGAGCAAGAATAATAAATAATAAACCAAGAATTCAAACCAATGACAGAACAGTAAAGAAATCTAAATAGGAACCAGAACTCAAAATAATATGAGCTGTAGTGTTTATGAATTTGGCAGACTCGGGTTGTGAATATGGTCTGACCTCGATCCCACCCGACTATCACCTGTGCGGGTTTGAGCTAAAAAAAAAAACTTCCCTCATCCAGTATGCTTTGTATTCTGGGATGCTGCAAGGTACTAAAGATGTGCAAAGGTCCGTACAGGCTAACAACTAGCTGTGCAATGAACGGAAATTTTCCAGTAGTGCAGAACACAGCAACTTCTTCCTGTATTTACTGTTGTTGCTCCTGCCCCAGACACATTTGGCCTATAAGTAGACTGAAAGTTCTCACGTAGTGACACATTTTGGTTCATTTGTGGTTCGCTTGGCTTTTCCTCTGTCTGAAAACTAACCAAACCAGAGGGAAAAGATACAAGTTTACAAACTCATGAACTGATTTAGGCCAGAGTAAATTAACTAGTGTCGAGAAAAACTGGCCACCTTCTGAAACTTTCTGAAACATTTTCATGTGTCACAGTGTTCAGGACAGGAGCCTGAGCACAGAGTCAGCCTTTTTCCTCACACACATCAGTGAGCTTTGGACTCCTTGAACCACGTTTACTAGAAACACCCCACAAAACCTGACATTTTGGTCCAGCCATCTACAGCCATTACAATACATCCCCTGTCAAAGATCCTCCAAACCCATCAGCTACAAGAAGTGAACGATCACAATCTGCCTGATGTATCCCGCCCCTTAAAGGGTGTCATTTCAACAATAAAGCATTTCATATCAACAATGAATCGATTAAGCATCTATCTAATGCTGTAGCTAAGTTTACATAATCATGATAACACTAGAAGCAAATATCAAATTAAGTGATTTTGGGTGATATTAAGCAGGAATTTGATGACACCTCCTGATCACCACAGCCCAGTTTCTACTCGCCTCTTTTGTGTGTGCGTGAGGCACAAAGTGTGTGTGTGTGTGTGTGTGTGTGTCCCATTCATCATCGGTGAAAGTGACAGAGTGCTTACTGCTGTAGCTGAGAAGTGCAGTGTGAGCGTCCGGGTGCTGTCCAGGGATCACACTGGGCAATCAGACCACAATGCACTGCAGCTGCAGTCAATTCAAGGAGAGAGTGTGCGTGAGAGAGAGGGGAAGACAGAGGAGATGGTCCCAGAGGAAGCAGAGTAGACTTCCATTAGAGACAGGAAGCGAGCTTGTGACTAAGATAGAATACTTGGACAGGTTTACTTGAACTCTAAAACTGCGATTGCCATATTTCCTGGTGACTAAAGTCTGAAGATATGCCATAAACATGGATAAAGATGGATACTTATTGTATGTATAATAGAGGTCCCGAAGGTGATTTTCTAATAAAACCATATGTAGATTTCTTATATATTATAGCTGAGAATGCAGTGAGGCAAATGAAAAAATACTTCAATGGTCTCCTGAACTGAACTGAGATATTTTTGGTAGAGGAAGTACAGGAATATGGGAAGAAGAGGACCAACTCGCCCATCATTAGGGCTGAGGTTACAGAGGCTGTTAATAAACTCTTTGAATAAATTCATTGAATGAAATTTGCCCTGAGTCCTTGGATGTTGTAGGGCTAACCTGGGACAGTCTCTGGATTAGCTAACCTTTTAAGATACATGGTCGAAGGATGTGCCCCAGCTTCACAATCCTTTGAAAGGTGACTGGAGAGTAGACTCTCCACTAGTCGAACCTTGGATTGAAGAGGAAAAATGGGGTTTATGTCCTGGCAACAACTCTTTATACTCTTGAGGATATCTGAGGATTTGCATGCATGTGTTTTTTGCACTTGGAGAAAGCATTCAATCACTTCTTTTGGGGTGCCCTCCTAGAGTGTGGGGTATTGGGCCTGTGACAGCCAGTGAGAAAAGGCTTCACAATGACCAGATCACTTTACAGCGTGTATATACCCACTGAAAAGATATGGGGCTAAGGCCATTCAAGGTGTGGAAGGGTTTCGGCTCTATTCTTGACACATGAATATGCTTCGTCTGGGTTACCTAAAAAAAAAAAAGCCACACGACTGGGTCCTAACCAAGAACTGAAAGCAACACCATCTGGAGCTTTCATTCATCATGGAGAAAATATGCACACAACACAGTGACTTTTGAGTGTTCTTTAGGTTGTCAGCCTTCCTGATTCCTAGCATTGGAGGGAGAATTTGGTGGTCCCTCCATCCAACTCCATGCAGGATTTGGAGAACTGCAAGGGAAGCCTTACTCCTGAGAGTCAACCAAAACAAATGCTTGACAGACTGTTCTGACCTCCTACAGCATAAAAGGATATTCCATCAAAGACCAAGTCCAAAAGATTGTCACCCAGGTTCATTGGATGTTTTGAAGTTGGCAGTGTGATACCTTCTGCAGCCCATTTCAAATCACCTACAAACGGTGTTCATAATTCATTAGACATCTCAGCTTAAACTAGTTGTCTCGGGCCCATTAAATGCTGGCTCATCCACTCACTACTACTGGTATCAAGCTCCCTAGAGAAACCTCTAGGTCTTTGTTTCCCTGAGGAAACAATCTCAGGGATTAATTTTGGCTTTCCTGTGTCGAGGCCACACATCAGATACCTTTAATACCTGCCCACTCACTTTTACCACTCGGAGAACGCAGCCTCAGGACCCATGCTCCCATTCCCTTACATCTTCTCTTAGCCTGATTCCAGTGTCACATCGTGCTTCAGGGTCCACTTGCTCTGGTGTAAACAAAATAGTTTTAGGGGGATTTTTTCAGTTAATTTGACATTATTTAATCAAAGGATTAGTTTATCCCATTAAAATCAGACTTCCATATCCTTAACATCTTTGCCAACCACATATGTAGAGTTCCATCTCCGCTTTGTGTCTTCCAGTCTTCCCGCTGTATCCAACTAATGAAATAACCACAGGAAAGCTTTCAGAAATGAGATTACAGTTTATTATAAAACAACGAAGGCCATATTTGCATTATAGTCAGTGTCACATTAAACAGATTTCATAGTTGAACTTAACTGAATGCTTCACACATACTGAGTTATGACTGCTATAAACATATTCACCAAGCTGCTACCACCTGTCTGAAGTTTAATTTTCCAGTTTTGTTGTTTGTTTTTTTGTAAAAAAAAGAAACTTTTCCATGTAGCTGTTAAAATTTTATTATCTGCACACACGCATTATGAAATTTGGCATCGACAGCACGTAGCAGTAGCCCACTAAATCAAGTGCGTGACAGGTTCTTCAGCATGATGATTATCATACAGCAGAATCACAGTAAGAAATACTAACCATGAGTTTAAAGTAGCAGTAGATATCTAATTTGCAGAGATTTGACTAATACCCTGTATCCACGAGGAAAAGGTAGGAATATTCCTATAATAAAAACTAAAGACATCACTCAGAATTCCTGCTGTTGTAAAGCCAGAAATGTTTTGCTTAAAGGCAACCTGTGGAGTTCTTGAACTCTCAAAGCACTATGAAGCAGTTTTTACGATTCACATTGCAATTTGCCAGCGACAGCAGGAAAGACGACGACATGCTGGGATGTGAAGAATGCAGGTTTCAAGACTTTTGAATGCCTTTTTACACGAAAACTCCACGTGGACCCTTTAAGACACAAAAATACAGTAATAATAATAATATCTGATATGCCTTCAGTCATATCAACATTTTCACTTCACTGATAGATTGTTCTTCTGACCAGCAGTTAGCATCTTTGTTGACATGCTCGGTAAAATGTTTTATACAACATTAATTGTATATTTTTCCTAAAAGTGCAACTATACGCCAGCTCATACCTCCCTGATTCTTTTTGACAGCAAAAAGCCATTTGACATTACAGTAAGCTTATGCACACACACGCACGCAGACACACACACACAGGCCTCTACAACAACCTCACAACCAGAAAACGTCTGCAGCAGCTACCAGCTGAAACAAACTCTGGATTAATGCAATGATAAAAAAAAAGAACAACCAAAAAAAAGATAAATAACAACTGTTCAAGTAAATATTGTGAATCATGTAACAGCTGCTCCTTTAGGTTATAGTGAGCATGCATGTGAGTGACACAGGTAGCAGCAGGTATTCACACATGCTGCTTCAGAGACGCCTTTTAATGGTCATTAAAAAGCATCTCTGGTCTTTGGAGCAATGAGTCATCCTGCCGACTCGGTGTCAGCGCGCTGATCCAGATGAGCTCGGGAGCTTGTCAGAAGGTGACTGCCGCTCAATTTGTCCTCCTGCTCTCACTTCCTAAGAAGCAGAAAAACAATGTACAATATCAGCTTCTTTGTTTAGCATTCTGTACAACAGCAAACAATCGCTGAATGCTGAGTGTTTAAGCTCTAAGCAGGGCTGAAAAATGAAGCCAAAAACTGCACTTCCTGTAGTGGCCACTGGAGGTTGGTTAGAAAAAAAGCAGTGAATCGTGTGTTAAAATTCCTAAACTTACAGAACAAATAAACATGTTGCCTCTACATCTACATTTCCTGTTCACACTTACTCATATTTCTAACTAAGCTCACCTGCTCACATTTTTATTGGGGATGCATGAATGACAGATGGATTTTTACGAGGCTGCTGGTTTTCTGTTAGCTGTCACCACAGCAGAATATGACTTGCTGACCTCCTCTTGACCACGTTTGTGCTGTTATGTTTTCCTTTTTTTAAATTTTTGCAGTGTAGTCAACTGTACAAACAGAAATCCAGATACTTTATCTTACTGCAAACTTAATAGCAGGAGTCTGTGTCTGTATTTTACAAATCAAGCCTGCAAGTCTTAGTGGATAATTTACCTCTGGCTCCAAAAATCTTCCACATTCAGCGGTTCCACATACTTTTGACACTGCCCCCTAGTGACAGTAGCAGGTGACAAAAGTTTATTACTTTGATGAGACAATGATCGCTGAGTGTCAGCTGTGTCTGAGCTGACATATAATGACGCTTACTGTGGACAACAAATAAATGAATGACAAAAGCAAAATCCATAAAGTTAGATAAAAGTAAAAATGAGAACTTGAGGTTTTATTTTATTTTTTTTACAAACACTCTTTCCAACATGACCAACTGAAAATCTAAAATAAGAAAATTACTTGAGAGATTATTTTAGCTCAAGTTCTTTTTTTCACTGTGTCAACAAGTCAGAAATTTGACAGCCACAGGTTAAGAAGTGTATAAAATTTTCCTTAAAAGCAACCGGAGCAGCAGTCTAACAGGAGGATGGAGGAAGCAGATGGATCGTTAGCACATTTGTGCTTGTGCTGTCATGTCATGCTGACAAACTTAGCGGCACATTAAAAGCAGGTTTCAACCTGGGAGAGACATCAGCCGCTACACACAGTAGTAACTCAGAGCTCAGTACTACAAAAAACAAAGTGGGCATCCGCTCTTTTCTGTCCATTTACTGTTGATTACCTGTTGCGATGTGGTCCGTATGTGTCCAGCATGACCGTGCTGGCATGTTCCAGGTCCCACTGGTGATGCTGCAGCAGCTCCTCGCACTCGGCTCTTGAACGCAGCCCCAGCCGAAACAGCTGCTCCACCTACAGCGCAGATGGTGAAAGAAGCATTTTAGACACGTGATTTACCATCATTGTTTTTACTACATTTAACTCTCTTCTTGCTGTTCTGATGCTCTTTTGCAGCATGAACACTGGCTTTCTTTAGCAACAGAAAAGCTCCCACATCCTAACCTTTATGATGAAAATAAACTTTAGCTACCTATGTACTTCTCAAAAGCAGAGCCACTGAATCGCTTAAATGTTAAAATTGAAAGAAAACAATTTAATCCAATTTCATTAATTATAATAAGACCTTTAAAAGCACAGGACAAAAACAATCAGTAACCTCCTTAACTCAATGTGTGTGTTTACAATCCCTGGTATACAACCCTCTTTCAGTTCTATGGTTGAACGTGTCATTATTAGTCTTGTCTTTATGTGACAAGACTAAGCCAAAATATAGAATCAGCATGTGGAAAGCTAAGTACACCCCATGATTTAATAGCTTGTAGAAACACCTTTAGCAGCAATAATCTGAAGTACCGTAATTGTCGGGCTATAAGCCGCTACTTTTTGCACAAGCTTTGAACCCTGCGGCTTTTAGTCAGGTGCGGCTTTTCTATGGCTTGTCCATGATTTTTGTCTTATCGTAAGACGATTTGTTTTGTTTGTTCCGCTGTTGTACGGCACTACGTTGCCTGGCTGAAGGATCGGGGTTCAAGAGTGGTATGTTGGTCACATGTCCGTCCGCCAGGCAACGTAGTGCCGTACGAAGTAGAGCGAAAAACAAACTTCAAAGTAGCGCTACGCGTTCAGCGGGAGGCGTGGATGATGAGCGGCGATAAACTTGCGAAAAGCAAGTTATGCCCAACTCCACCGGTGGATTCTGACAGCGTGGAAAAGTGTGAAAACATCCACGATCACCAACGGATTTCGAAGGGCTGGACTGCTGCATGATGGAGAGGAGGACACCGCCACGGCCCTTCTGAGGGTGTTTGACTCTGACACTGACAACAAGGATTTCTTTGGTTTTGAAAGTGACAACGAAGGAGAGAAGCGGAGAGTGGATGACGAAGCCATCCTGAGCCTGTTTGTATCCGACACTGGAGAAGAGGACTTTGGTGGTTTTAGTGCGCAGGAAGAAGAGAAAGATGGTGGTGAATGACTGACTTTTCTTCTTGTTAAAGCCGTGTCACTGCACCTGAGCCTAAAAGGTAGTCCGAATCTATTTTTCTGGTGTGCTGTAGGTTACTGTTATGTACTACATGTGCAAATATGTACCCATAACTTGTTTTTCAAAATATTAATAAAAGGGGTGTGTCTCCAAACGGCCATCTCTTTCCTGACAATTCCCTTTGTGCATATTCTCTTACATATGATAAGTCAACATTGAAACACCATGTATGTACAAAACAGGATTTTCGCCTGATTTTAGCTTGTGCGGCTAATATTCAGGTGCGCTTTGTAGTCCGGGAAATACGGTAATCGCTTTTTGTAGGACTTTATCAGTATCTGACATCACAAGCTTGAATTTTGGCCCGCTCTTCTTTAATAGTTGCTTCATTGAGGTTTAAGTGCATTCATTTATGCACAGCTCTCATACCTTCCCACTGAGGTCTGGACTTTCGGCTATTGCAACACATTGATTCTTTTCTTTTTCAGCAATTCTGTTTTCAATTTTCTGCTGTGTTGGATCACACAGTTTACAGAGCAGTTCATGGTCCATCAGTAACTGCAAGAGGTCAGTAACACACTTAATAGCTGTTAATATGTCACTTTTTTGCGCTCTGATTCATTTATATATTGTTTGTTAACGGCAACAAATAAACTAGGAAAGTGTATAGACACACAGTTGCACCTTTAAATGGTTTATGGCCTGAGGGATGCTCCACTCGTGGCTCTGCAGAGCAGCCTGACACTCCTCTATCGTGACACCGTGCACAGCTCCTTGGACCTGACAATCAGACAATAAACTTAACGTCATGTTTGCATTTTAAAGAAGTGCAACTGTCATATGGATACACATGAAAAGAAATCTACTTTTATTTCAGAGAGTAACTCTGCGTGGGCACATTTGTTACCATGCTTGTACAAAGAGAAGAAGTGACAAAACGAGCAGGTTTCCTTCTTTTCAAACTCTCAGTCACTTATGCAATGAATCAAACTGTTTTTAAATTAGCCACAAGCCCTTTGAAGTTTTTCCCTAATTCGCAGTCCCAATGAAATTAGCAATAAAGTTAATGATTTTCTTTTTTAATATTATTCTTCCTCAGGTAATGTTAAAACCATATGAATATGATTCAAATCTGCAGCTTTTTGAGCATTACATTCTCGCAATTAAAAGCTTTGTTGATAAAAGGATGTGAATTCAATAAAAAGGGACAATTTAGCTTTTCATGTGTTATCTAGAAATCAGTGACTCTAATTTGTCTGCCTGTGGAAAACAACAGCATTCGGTGTTTGTCATTTCTGTGACTCTCAACAAATAAAAGTTATGACTTTTTTGTTTTAATAGAAAAAGTGACATTCCTTATGATCTCCCTCACCTGTGTGATGCTCTGTTCCCGTTGAATGCTGGGAGCTGCAGCTCGGCCGTTATTGTTGTTGTAGGAGGTGTTCGGTTTGGCTCCACTAGGGTGCTGCTGCATCATAGGTTTGACTGCCGCCATGTTGGCTGCTCCGTATCTGTTAAGAAACATGAAATATGGCATATGAATTATTTTGAATGGTAAATGGCCTGTATTTGTATATCGCTTTACTTTGTCCCTATGGACCCCAAAGCGCTTTACACTACATCCACACATTCACACACTGGTGATGGCAAGCTACACAGTAGCCACAGCCACCCTGGGGCGCACTGACAGAGGCGAGGCTGCCAGACACTATCGCCACCGGGCCCTCTGACCACCACCAGCAGGCAACGGGTGAAGTGTCTTGCTCAAGAACACAACAACCGAGGCTGTCCGAGCCGGGGCTCAAACTGGCAACCTTCTGATTACAAGACAAACTGCCAACTCTGGAGCCACCATCGCCCCTTAGCTGATGATGTTTCTCTGTGAATGACATCTGAAATTTTACTGTTGCACTGAAGAAATTCTCGTAATAATAAGTCTCTGACGACATTTTCCAACTATAAAACATTTATTTACGATTCCTCTGTGTCTTGTTCCAGTTGTACGTTACATTTGGTTAATCAGCACACACATCCATACATATGCAATAATACTAAGTGCAATAATCCTTTCTGTCATCGTTGTATTTTACTCAGTTGTATATAGTATTTGTATTTGTATTCTATTTTTATCTTATTGTATATTTATTTTATTTTATTCTACTGTATATAGTATTTTATTTTATTCTATTCTGTACAGTTGTGTACTGTATTTATTCTTATTGTATCCTAATTTTTGCCTCATAACTTTTGCACTGTCCACTTCCTGCTGTGACAAAACAAATTTCCCACGTGTGGGACTAATAAAGGTTATCTTATCTTATCTTATTTAAAGAGGAGAAAGGCCGGACTGCTTTGAGCTGATCAGAAGACGACGGTAACCAATCCCAACCAAGGTATGAAGAAGAGCATCTCTGAAGTCACTGCATGTCAAACCTCCTGTCCACTCCTGTCAGCTAAAAACAGGAAACCGACACTACGGTTTGTACAGGCTCACTAAAACTGAATTACTGAAGATTGGAAGACTGGCGCCTTGTCTGAGGAGTATATTTCCGCAGCAACATTCAGATGGTAGGGTCAGAAATCATGGATCCATCCTGCCGTGTATCAACAGTTCAGGCTGGTGGTGGTTGTGTAATGATGTGGATTATATTTTCTTGGCACCAAATGAGTGTCACTTAAACACCACAGCATACATGAGTATATCTTGCAAAATGAAAATGAGTAAAATGTGGCCTCCACAGTCACCACGTCAGTGCAGTGAAACAGGAGATTGGCATCACAAATGTGCAGCACCTGTGTGATGCTTTTATGTCGATATGGACCCAAATATCTGAGGAATGTTTCCAGCTCCTCGTTAATCTATGGTATGAAGACTTAAGGATGCTATGAAGGACAAACGAGGTCCAAACTGGCAAGTGGTTGGTGAGCGCAACCACTTGCCAGCTCCTCTTTGTCTTTGGTATCTGGTTTAAAAACTTGCTTGTTTTCTGTATTGGGGTCCCCCCTGAACTCAGCACACAGATGTGAGCTTTGTTTCAACAGCTTGACGACAAATTCAAACAAGCTGAAAAAATATTCTATTACAACAAATGCTAATAAAATAGCAATGCCTCATGCCAAGTGATTTGATGACTCACTTTAGCTCCTGATCTTCATGAAAATAAATAATAATAAATAAAAATTATGTCACATTTCTACCTAGGTGTTATTCACATAATAGTGGGTATTTGTCACTTGTTATTTACCTTGTGGGAAATTTGGAAATAAATATATCCGTGTAAAGTCAGTAAGCGCTGAAGAAGGAGCACACGTGCCATTTAGTTAGTGTCACGCAATGCTGGGGTTAATTGGATGATCCCTCACATGCACAAACACAACGTGTACCATTTCACTTGATTGGTCCCATGTTATTAAGTCCTCAAATCCTTTTTTTTTGTAGGGTGCAGTGCTAATGTCAGAGCCATAAAAATCTCTAACACTGAGCTGGCAAAAATATGTTACCCCAACATTACATTTGAGGACTATTTTTTGTTTATACATATATGCTCTGGAAGAAATATAAATTATCAAGGGAACAAATTCGTTTTTTGCTCTCCACCCATAAAAATCTGCCTCCATGAAAAACTCACCTCTCCAGGAAAGCTGGTCTCTCCGGCAGTGGGACGGGGGCAGAGCTCTGCGAACTGTCAATCAGTGAGGAAAGGCCACGCCCCTCACGAAAGGCGAGTGGATCCAGTAAGGACGTGGAGGAGTACGATGAGCCAGGAAGTCCTAAGCGTGAGGAATGGGATGAAGCTTGAGGCAAAGAGGAAGACGACGATGGAGAGTTGGAGGACAGGAGTGGACCCAGCAGTCCCGATGCCCGACGGGGCGAGACGGCGAGAGGAGGAGGTGGCAATGCTACAGGTGACGAGGAGCGGGAGCCTGGCTGAGAAAAGGCGTGGTCTCTGGGTGGGATCTGAGGGGGTGTGTCATCTTCGTTGCCCAGTGAAATGGAGCTGGTGCATGCTTCTGGGTTTATGGCACGGGCGGAGAGGTTGTGTTTGGAGGGACGCAGAGGAGGGACGGGACTGCGAGGAGGCAGCACAGGCCTGTCCTCAAAGCAGGAGGCAAAGGAGGAGGCAGACGAGGGAGATGGAGGGGGAAGATGGATCTGTCGGTGCTGGCCCAAAGGAGCCAGAGGCATGGGAAGTGGGGAGGAGGGGAGGGAGCGGCCTGTTGCCATTGGAACCTGCAGCTTCACCATCACCTACATCAACAGAGAAACAGCAGCTTTATGTTAGCTTGGGTGATAATTTAAAAGTAAAAATCGATCCCGAATGGCATTAATACAGCTTTCACTACCTCCCTCTGTAGCTCCTGGAAGAGGTCAGCTGACTGGGATTCGCTCCTTCCTGTCAAGCCACCACCAGCGGATGAAGAAGCTTCTTCAGTCAACCCTTTGTATATGGACCGCACTTCCTGGTCCTCTGATTGATCCTCAGCCTCTGCAGTAACTTCATCGTACGCTGGCTGGGGGAGAGGCCAGTCCAGAATGGAGGGAGTGTCCTGAGAAGACAAATAGATACAAGGAAAAGTTATCCAACGTTATTAAGATTTTTTCTGCATAACAAAAACAAAGTTTGAGCCAGAGCCAAAAGGAAATCATCACTGCTGCAGTAATATTACTTCTTTGTGTTCACTGGGGTTTGAATTACTCATATTTGTCCTTATTAATTCTTCAGAAATAACCAGAAAATGCACAGATTTCCATCAAATGTGGTACCAAATCATCATTACATTTATATTTATTTATGTATAGTTACCCACTGTTGGTCAATAAAACCTGACTTTCAGCCAGAAAATCCTGAAAAATTGTTTTGCAAAGGTCTGGATATCCTCTTTCTTTCTTCTTTTTAATGTTCAAGCCAAGATATTAAGTTAACCTTGTTTAGCTAACAGTACAGCTCTGTTTAAAGAACTATTACAGAACCCAGAAGTTGGAAGTGGTCATTTCTGGTTGACCTATTAAGGTCCACCTCCTCCAGGGTTAGAGTTTTGTTTGAGTCACAAGTTTCAATTATTCAATATTGTTATATTGTTTATTTGGTGGTGGTGGTCACCAAAGGTGATGAGACGGCCTACAGGGAGGAGGTCAGCGCCCTGACACACTGGTGCCAAGACAACCATCTCACCCTCAAACTCACAAAGACAAAAGAGTTGATAGTGGGCTTCCGGAGGTGTAGGGAAGCACACACTCCCATCACCATCAACACCGCTGCTGTGGAGAGAGTGAGCAGCTTCCGTTTCCTAGGCGACATCTGGCGAGGGATCTCACATGGTCAGTACACACAAAACAGTGAAGAAGTCGCAGCAGTGCCTCTTCTTTCTCAGGAGTCTGAAGTGATTCAGCATGAGCCCCCACATCCTCAGGACCTTCTACTGCTGTGCCATTAAGAGCATCACCACGTGGTATGGCAACAGCACCGGTTACAACTGCAAAGCTCTCCAGAGAGTGGTGCTGTGTTCTGAAAGGATAATTGGAGGTGGTGGTGTTGCCTGAGGAAAGTGGGTAGGATCATCAAGGCTCCAGTCACCCCAGCCATAAACTGTTCAAACTACTTCGGTCAGGCAGGAGGTACTGCAGTATCCGTCCCGAACCAGCAGACTGAGGGACAGCTTCTTCCCTCGGGCCACCAGACTGCTGAACACTCGATAGACACCTCACTCTCACCTACCGGAACTTCAACACTATGCACTGCATAATGTACATATATGCCATTTTTGTGCACAATATTCAGACTGCTGACCTCTGTATATTTTACATATATGTATGTGCACACACACACACACACACACACACACACACTTTGGCATAGATATTACTAATGTGCATACATCCTTAAAATTGTACATATTTATTCTTATAATTCTCACATTCCTGCTCTTATATTTGGCTTGTTTCTTATGTTTCTTGTATTTTTTGCACACCACTGTTGCCTGTGAAGCTTGCTCACATGTGCTGTACCAGTGTACCAGTAATGTGACGTGACACTAAAAGTGACTTGATTTGTTTGAAATGCTTTTCTATTCCCATGTGAAGCACTTTGTAATAGCTTCCTGTCTTAAAAAGTGCTATATAAATAAATTTTACTTTTACTTCAAAAACGTCAGTATAAATATCATGAAGCTGCAGCTTGGTCAGGATGATCGAAGGCAGACTGAAGGTATGAGGTGGAATTGCTGTGCAACTCCGCTGAAGACCACTAAAGCGTGAACGTGTACATTATCAATCAATAAGTACTGATCATCCATCACATTGCACGCGCCTTGGGTGAATTCAAGTGGAAGGGGTTATTTATGACATTTCTAGGCCAAAGGTTGGACCACTGTCTCTGGGAAACAAGACAGCTCATCATTTGTGAGTACTGGCAAAGATTTCAAGCTGTGTGTGCACCACCTACACTTGATTGAGGATACTGCCATGCATGTGGCCGTGTAAGGTCCCTCGTGTCTTGAAAACCTTTGAACTACATCACAATCATTGTTTAGTTGTAGAGGGTGAACTGAAAAGATCAGATGGCTAATTCTCCAGATGAGCTGGGAATATAAGACCCCTCTGCTGTGATTACAGGATGGTTCCACTCAGGGAGTGGGTGACATTCAAAGAAAGAAAAGAATCATGCCAACCTCAGCTTGATCAACCCTCAACAGTTCATTAAAAGACAGTTCTAGGCCATAATGAAAGGGGAAATGGGACTCATATTGGTCAATGCAGTCTTGAAGTCACATTAGGTGAAGTTAAAAAAAAAATCTCTTACTAATGAGGGTAAGAGCATCAACTATTACAGTCTGACTCAGGCCTGAGCTACCTTTAGGGTGTCCTCATCCAGCTGCCGAGACTCAGTGAGCGGAGAAGGTGTGGTAGAGCTGAAACTGTCATCGGTGAAGTCAATAAGCGACACCTCGCTCTTGGCTGAACGCACGCCTGTCCCCTCCCACGGCCGAAGCTTCAGACCTAGGGATGCTCCCAGCTTCTTCAACCCAGACGACGCGCTGGCGTCTTCCTCGTCATCGTAATCGTCCATCACAGAGTCGTAGAACGGCTCTGGACACACATGAAACTCTAGATTTAGATAATTGCTTCTACTGACATGCATGTGTTTGAAGGATTAAAGAAAAAATCTCACTCTTGAGCAGAACGGCAGGTTGGGGTGGACGAGGGGGAGGTAGCTCTGATAAAAACAGACAAAGGCGTTTAGGTTCGATTTGACATGCATCGGTGTAACAGAAAAGTTAGATCACTATTCAGCAAAAATACAGTCTCACGGCACAAATGAATTTACTCTTGGCACGGTTGGGAAGTTTGGTCGGTCTCGCAATGCCTGAATCCATTCCCAGGACATCAGGAGGGTCCATGGGGTTCCCCAAGTACAGGCTAAGGAAAGAAAATCATTTTTATGTAATAAAAGTTTAAAATTGAAAATAAGTCCAAGTCCCGTCCTTTAACTCATACTGAAGATGGTTGAAGCTAATAAACATACTTGTTAATAACATGTTAATAATCCCGTTGTAGGTACTGGAACATCAGTAAAATTATTTCACTACTCCTCTATTGTTGCAAACGGTGCAGTGATGTGGACGTGTCTTCTAAAATCCTCTAAAGCTCAACAGCAAAACATCTGTTAAACTATGCATGATACGCAGCTGCCCTCTAGTGGGGAGCTGCAGTATAGGCAGTCTTAAAATAGTACATGCATGGTTTCAGTTAAAAGGCAATTTTAGTGCTTTGTCTTTATGTGATTTTTCTTCTTTCAAACTGATTTTTTTTTTTTTAGAACTGTTATCTGTTCTCCTGCCTTATCATTGTGGAATCCTAATGTAAATAACACAAATCTATAAATCCTCCTTCCTAACCTGTTTTAAAGAAGAGTCTATTCTTCCAGTCTTCTATTTCTGCGTTCTGGACTTGTGGTGGGACTCTAACATTAGCCCAGCAGCCTACAGCCATCCATGGACGCAGAAAGCACAGTCACATCTGACAAAGCACACTGTATGACACTACATTACTGTAGGTACTGTATCATTAACCTGTCTATGCGGTCTGCGTGTCCCCAGCTCCTCTGGGGGTCTGTGTCTCCATGTCCAGTGTGTATAAAAGAGTGTTTAAGTGGCCGGCTGATGTCCTGGGCGGAAAGACCGGCGACTGACGTCACTACATGACGGGGAAACTGACCGACACGCAGTGTGCGCCTGTTCTGACCTCGCCACCAGTAGTGCTCTGCCCTGAAAACACACAAACAGGTATGAAAACAACGTGGTGACTGTCCTACAGTAATGTGCATTCTTGTAGCAGTACACGTTCTTAATTGCCAACTTCTGGGTTTTAATTTAGTAGTTAGGTAGTTACAGACATACAATATATACGATGCACACACGCATATTAATGTGATAAGGAAGTCATAAGATTATAATTGCAGTAATTTTCTACAATGTAAGGAATCCAGTTTCAACGGGAGATCCGTTGTGTAGTAGGCACTTACATAAGCACGACTCTCAAACCCACTAACCTGATTAAGAAACTGCTTGCTCTCTCAAAATCAGGCTAAAAGGATGCCTTACAGGCATGTTCTAGCTAACAAAACATCACACACTGACCTTCCTTCAATAATGGTGATAACATCATTCATTGTAATCTGGAGCTTGTCTTCCTCCTCAAAGTCCTGCAGGGCTCTCATATCTGTGGGCATGGTCTGCAGAGCACACACAGTGTCGTCAGTGTCACCAGCAGAGTCAAAGACAGCCTTTAGACATGGAATAAATACTTGCAGCCAACAAAGAATCGTTTCCTGAAGCACATTTAGTGATTACGATCGACAGTGTTTTACTTAAACTACTGTGCTACCTCGAGCAGGAAGTCTCTGAGGGCAATGAAAGTTGGTCTGTCTTCAGGTTTGGGGCTCCAGCACTGCAGCATCACATTGTAGATATCCTGAGGACAATCGTCTGGTTTACACAGCCTCTCAGCTTCCACGTCCACCTTGTGAAGGATCTGTAAACCCACACATAAATAATGGCGTGATTAGCTGAAGCTAATGAATAATTCATTTATTTTATTTTTTATGGCGGAGGGTTGTTCAAAGATGCACCTGGCTCCCATTCAGACCCAGCCACGGCTCCTGTCCGTGGGTGAACATCTCCCAAAGGGTGACCCCAAACATCCAGGTGTCAGATGCGTGAGAGAAAGTGCGAGACTTCAGAGACTCTGGAGCACACCTGGAGAGATCGGTGAAAAACAACTGAGACGCTGAGATACTGAAACACAGATAGTATGTAGCGACAGAAAAAAAGTCACTCTCACCATGGGAAAGGGATTTTGTGGCCTTCCTCCATGACGTATTGGTCGGTGTGTTTAGGCAGTGCCCTCATTAGGCCAAAGTCTCCGATCTTCACAGTTTCATTGGTGGACAGCAGCACATTACGGGCTGCGAGGTCCCTGTGGAGGAAACGCTTCTGCTCCAGGTAAGCCATCCCACAGGCCACCTGTGGAGAAGGTGTGGAGTGACAGATGGGAGCATTTTTGCATTCTTACACATGGGAAATGTCATAAAATAGAGCTGTATCTCCAACAAATAAACATTTAAATTTAAACAAATGTACAAATATTATGGAAACTGTACTCAAGAAAATCTAATAGAGAGAACAGTGTGATAAAACTGAATTTCATTGTGGGGGGTTTTTCCTTTCGGTATTAACTGACCTGCACGCCATAGTTACACAGCGAGGAGATGAGGATGTGACCCTGCCGCTTTCTGAGCCGATCCAACAGGGAGCCCAGAGGAGCCAGCTCAGTCACCTACACTCCAACAAACAAAATGTGCTCAGAGCTCATTGTGTTTATGTTTTGTGCACTGCTTTTAAAATATATATCCCGTCTGTACTGTTTTTCAGTGCTTTTTTAAAAAATATGTTACATCTGGAAGCGGCAAATCTTTAACTTGTAGACTGTGTGAACTCTTTTGTACTTGAATTTCCTCTGTGTGTGGGAAACACTGATCTTATATTCAGGGCTATTCTAAAGTAGCCAGACCTGAGGCAGCAGAAACTCCTGCAGGCTAAACTGAGCTTAACAGCTCTGAAACATTCACTGAAAACATCTGATAGCTCAGCAGCTACAATGTATCGACTGTTGGAAATAAATCAAGTTCTCAAAAAGAGGACAAACTCCCTCTTATAAGTGTGTGTGTGTGTGTCTCATGGATTACCATCTTCATAGGCTGTGTGAGGACGATGCCATACAGGCGGATGAGGTTTTGGTGGCTCAGTGAATGCATGGCATTCACCTCTCTGATGAAATCATCCAGACCGTCTGAGTCCAGTACATTTGATTTCAGGCATTTTACTGCCACTGACAACTACAAAGAAAAGGAGAGATGATATTAGAGAAACCTCTGTAAAAAATAAATAAGTAAATCACCTTGTGGAGTTCAAATGGGATGCTCTAACTTAAGAGGAAGTGACAAATACCCAGCAAATGTGTCCTTTTGGGGCATGTGTGGCCTCTCTGCGGGCAGACCCACACAACCCACAGTGGGCCGCAGAACACGCGTGATATTTCAGAAAATGAAAGATTGGACTGATAACATTCACTTCTTTTTCAGTATATCAATAAGATTCATTTTACTAAAATGGTTTGAATCAGTCACCTTCTCTCAGCCTCATATTTCTGACTGTGTACTAAAACATGTTCTGTGTTTTCATCTTCTCCAGAATAGTCACATTTCCTTGTATAATGTTTCTTTTTTTATAAATAATATACCAGCCAACATGCCAGTGTGGGCCCTCAGTGGGTAGCTGTGGGTGAACTGTGGGGCTGCAAACCCACATTTATCCTACGTGGGCCCCTAGTTGGTGTGCACACAGAGCCCATGGCAGCTTCGCCCTTTCTACCTCCTACGTAGGTTTTCTCATGCAAGCAGACTACTAGTTGCCCACAGATATATTTCTTACAGGCCCAAAAGGGATAAACTGCTATGGGACCCACATGCTTAGCCTAGATGGGACCCAAGTGGCTTGTTTGTGGGCAAACACACCCTGAGCCTCTATGTCATACATTCTCAGCTGCCTCATACTGTGTTTCTTCATCTCACCACTCTGCCGTTGGGTGCAGTCCACTCTCCTCGCCGCACCACCCCGAATGTCCCGTCTCCAAGCCGCTCAAACAGCTGAAGCTCCGACTCTCTAATCAGGCAGGTGAGCGCGGCCCCCGACTCACTACTGGCCGGGGCCGCGGCAGACGTTGCCCCGAGGGGCTGCTGTGTGTCAGCGTCCGGTCGTTTCACTGGAAACACCTGCAGGGCCAGAAACTTCTTATGCATGCGAACACGCTTGATTTGAATCTGAATGAATCTAAATTAACCTATTTTGATAAAAGACACACATAGACCATGTGACATAACATGAAAAAATAAAATAAAATTAGAATCAAAGCCACATCAATACAAACTAAAATTCCTTTTCCTAAATATACCTGAGGGTGAAAGCAGACATTTTTACAAATGCAGCTTATACATGAATATCATATTGTGAGATTGCAGCCTTGCTTGAGCAACTTTCAGGACAGGAGAGGTACTGCACCTTGCTCATCCAGGATTTTCTTTTATAAAGGGCTCGTCTCCTCTTGACTGCCTCCCAGAGCCTCCTCTGACCTGGACCAGCAAAAACACAAACACAAATAAACCTGGATTTTATTGTATGTTTATAGTGTATTTTTCTAAAAGACAACACACAGACACATCTGATATTTGTTTAGATTACCTGTTTATCACATAGGTTTGGGGTGAAAAACACTTAAAGAGGTACCTGGGCGTCCCATGCCGATCTTCTCCAGGTCTTCATTCTTGACGTAGTCAAAGTGTGAGAGTCGTGTGACGTTGAGATCATCACGGATTCGCAGGAAGTACTGCTGCAGCTGCACATCTGTCAGCAGCTCCAGCAGCCACTCTGTGCCCTCCTCACACTGCATCTGCACAGCAAACACACATTTCACCTGCATCAGGATGCATACAGTGCTGTTAACAGCCTCCAGTTTTAACATAGCTCTGCTTATGCGATTGAATTGTTCCATTACTGAGCGTGATGTTAATGGACCCCATTAATGGGCACACTGTAATGTGTGCTCTAAGTGCAGGAGCTACTCTCAGCTATGAAAAGCCAAAATGACTGATGGGATGTGACATCTGCAGCACCAATGTAATGATTAGATATCTGGAAAAGCATCAAGAATGGAAAACAGTAAGTGCTCATATTTTAAGAAGCTGGAGTAAGAAAATTTGGGGCATTTTTACTCCTGAAAATGACTTTCAAGATTCAACAAACACATTTTCTGACAATTGTTTAGGACGCTACTGTTTCATCTTTTTTTGCAGATTCCCCAGCAAAATGTACTTTCTGCTGCTCCTTTATTTCCCAAGGGGTAGCCAAAGTGGATAGATCTGCATATTTGATTTGGCACCGATTTTACGCTGGATGCTCTTCCTGACGCAGCCCTCCCACTTATCCAGGCTTTGTGCAGACACGAGGAGTACACTAGCTTGAGACCCCTTAAGGCTGGAATTTGTGTCTCGAAGCAGGAGTCATTTTGCATGTGCAGCAAATGTGCAGATTCACAGATTCACAAGTTGAAAGACCTTTAAAGTTTTTCACAGACTTTAAATTATTAACTAAAACCAGTTTTGCACCATTTCATGATAAGCAAACTACAATTTCCTCTTAACTAATTGCTTTAATTGTATACCGTATACTGTGACAATATACTACAACATTTACTTTGCCTTAATCTAATGTCACTCTTACATACTAACTTCACTCACTGATGTCAAGCCTAAAAACCAACAGTGGTTTAATTTAGCCAAGAAAAGAGGAGCTAGCCAGGCTCTATGTGAAAGAGAAAAATCCAAGTAAATCGCATCTAATTAGCAATATTCTGTGTTTGTTGAGGCAGAATAAGTGAAGTGACAATTTTCTTGGATAATTAATAAAGATACAAAATGTTCATTAGATCTTTAGAGTGTTTGTTAGCGTTACCTTTACAGCATTTGTCTGTAACTGCAGATGTAACCATGATCATTCCATACACATTGCAGTTTGTTGCTTATTCTAGAGTTGTGCTCAAGGTAATTAAAGGTTATAAGCTATAGGCAGCGCGAGTCTGGCTGACTTAACAGTCTTTGTTAAGCTAAGGTAAACAACCACTAGCTCTAGCTTCTTGCTTTTTGTATAGCTTCATCCTAATATTTCAAAACTATTAAAAGATGTAAACGCATTAATACAGCGCTGTCATAGAGCTCTTTGCAAAACTAAACTTTACCCTTGGGAGCAGCACATTACGCACAGAAACATGTTGAATTGGCTGAAATCCCCTCTCCATAGGCAAACGCATGTTCAAACAGCCCCAATTGTGGAACCATGACTTAAGCATTAGACTAGCATTAGCAGGTTCGCTCTGGATTCAGGACCCCAACACAAAATGGTTAAAATTTAACGGAAGCAACATTAAGTGTGAAGGCTTTTGTCTGCCATTCACAATTAAAAAAGATAACAAACAAAACAAAAAAAAAAAAAATCCAGGCAGAGGTAAGTTAAAATTTCAAAATGTTGACCTACTTAATCAAAAGTAACTTTAAATTTTGAGATACTCAATCAGTAAGTCAAAATTTTGACATGAAATTTTGAGACAATAACCCAAATTAACTTGATATTACCTCTGCAGACTTGCAGAAACAAGCTTCCATAATTAAGTGGCAGGAATACATTTGTTTGCTTGTTTGTTAATTTATTGCTTTATAGTCAATTGCTGTTGGGTAATTTTAGACCCCAAAACTGAATTCAGAATGAAGTATTTTGGTTTAACTTATAACTGGTGCAGTTACAGGGTTCACAAAGTAGACACTGTTTTTTAAACCATGAGGATACTAAATAATTTAAACAGACATCAAATGAAATCTGGTGTCTGTTGTAAGATTAGACCCAAGATCAATACACCTGCATCCCCACACCCACACTTATATTCATAGAAAAACACTGAACAAAAAGACACAGACATAGTGTAATTACAGCCAGAGAAGAAGAGATGCTGCACATCCACCCACAACTTCAGACTTTACCATTTGTCCACCGACACTCCTGTCTCCCGCCTCTTCATCCTCCCCCTCCCCCTCTCCTCTGGTGTAGGGGAGTCGCTGGTACATATAGCTCTCCCCCATACTGAAACAGCTCCTCTTGTCCTTTTTGTATTGAGCCCTCCTGTTTCTGCGCTATTCAGAGGAGGCGTTAGCTCTGCTGCCGCGCTCCCCCTACTCCGAGTCTAGTTTGCTAATCTCCTCTCAGCTCCATGACCTTCTCCGCTCAATCGATGCGCGCATGCACAAACACGGACACAAACGCACCGGGAGGCATTTGACGCCACTCTCTCCTGTCGTATCACCTAAAGCTATCTATAAACTCCTTCACTCCTCCCTCCCACTGCTCCTTTCTCTCCCTGCTGACTCACGACTTCCCGCAGTATCGGACACCTCCATGCTTCTCCGTCTCTCCAGCTTTTCCTCCTCTCCTCTTCATCTCCTTCTGGCTCAGCAGCCAAGCCCACTGTCTGATGTTAAATAATTCAGCAGCTCTAATGAGAGGGCGAGTGGAAGAGGGAGATCTTAGAGGAAGGAGGGGAAAGACTGCAGATACAAATAGGTGGACAGATGGATGGTCAGGCTGAAGAGAAAGGAGATGGAGACAGTTCCCAGCATGCATTTAATAGATTCTGACATGCAGATGGCATAGGCGCCAAGCTCAACCCAAACAAGCAGAACATTTCTAAAAGATGGTAACGTGATGTGGCCATCAATTTCAGGAAGTGTCAGAAACGTTGCTGAAATCTCTCATCAAGTAAAAACTGTGAAACAGTCACTGATTGCAGTTTGGCAGACGAGAGGATTTCCTGCTTTTCTCTGTTCTATATTAACCGAGCACAGTACTGTTTCAGGCAGATCATGAGGTCAATCTCAGTCACAATCCAGGCAGATCAGCTGATCTCAATCCCAGATCACATCAGCTGACGCCTCAGCTGATAAGCTTCCGCACATCCAATTAGCAAATCTCATATAGGGCGCGCTATTTAAGCTGCTTCAGATTGTGTACAGTTCCTGCATATCTGCAAAATTTACATTACAAGCTATCTCCACCCCAGCCTCGGGGGGTGGGGGTCTTGCTCCTGCTCTTAGAGATGTGTCCCAGAATAAAGCTATACCACTGAATTTAAATTAGTGCAGATGGAAGTCACAATCCTCCTTTTACTACAGCAGTCTTAAATTATAGTCCTGCTGTGAGTCAAGACAACCGTAATTTGTCTTGACTCACAACAAGCAATTAAGATAGTTCTGTGAGGCATTTAATCACTATTTAATTAGTTTAATTGATCAAAAAAACACTGGCAAAGAATGGAAAGGACAATGGCTAAGGAGCCTAAAGTGTGCCTAGACCACATCATTACACCACCACCAACCTTAACTGCTACACCCTATTCAGTACCTGCCATCCGAATGTCACGGCAGAAATCGAGGCCCATCAGAACAGGCAATGTTTTTCCAGTCTTCTGTTGTCTAATTTTGCTCAGCCTGTGCAAATTGAAGCCTCAGTTTGCTGTTGTTCCTGTTCTTAGCTGACAACAGTGAAACCCAGTGTGGTCTTCTGCTACCGTAGCCTATTTATTCAAGGTTCAATATAATATGCATTCATTACCCAAATTATCTGGAATATCACTCATTCCCACTTTTATATATATTCCTAAAGAGTTCACTTGCAATAAATATACAATTGTGCATAAAAGCTACATTGCCTGTCATGTCTAGGTGCAATCCTAACATCAGCAGCAAACACTGCATAGCCTTTATGCATTTACTGTGTACACTCATACTGTTTATAGCAAAATAGAATTTATTAGTCAGTTTTAATTCATTTGAGCAGACTTAAAACAGATGTTTTAGCTATTTAACTAGATTAAAAAAAAAACAAAAACATTTCACGATTATCAACAACATATGGATGCTGGATCAGATATAATATCTGAAAATCAGAATATCAATTACTCCATGAGATAATTTATTTTCTATGCAGCTCTAATTATTGTGGAAAACATTTGATTGTTTTTTCACTCCTTTTCTTTTTGAATTTATATTATCAACATAAAAGGATCTCAGTGTGGCTTTTTCTTTGTTTGAACTGGTTGAGAAGTGGGTGGGCTGCCATATACAGTTTCTGATCTGATTACGTATATCAAAGTACATCTTGTTTGGCAGTTAAAGCAGTTAACAGTGTTGAAGTGCAGTGCTGCAGATCCTGCTGTAATTCAAAAATGAAAGAAAGGCAAATGTGAGAAACTGGGCTGTTACTATTAGCAACATGTGACAGCAAGATGAGCTAACTGGTGCATGAAGTCACTGGTTGGATCATTCATGCTCATGTATGAGTGTGTGGGCGCATCTGCGGCCTAAATGAGGACAGAAGCAGATCTTTCATCTCCGCACGGCATCATGTGTTTTATTGAGGGTGATGGTCCAAAAATAGGAGAGCTAAATTTAGCTTATGTTCAGTGGCAATAGGAGGGAAGTGGCTGCTTAATTTTTCTCTCATCTTAGCATCAGATATCTGAGATTCAATCGGGACTGTCAACGTGCACAGATCAGGATTTATTCTGCATATTTCATCCCTGCCCCGTCCTGGTTTAGGCAGAGCATGATATGAATTCAACAGCACCTGGTAGAATTTCCTGCCATATTTGTTTGTGTGTTTCAATATTTCTGATATAAGTCACCTTAAAAGAAAAAGAAAAAAACACTGCAGGAAAAGAAAGCTTTGAGATTCATTCAGCCTGTGCTTTGGAAAGAAAACAACAGTTTTCTTCTGCAATGTCATAACTAATTCAAATGTTACACCAAATATTTGGTCACTAGAGTTAATGAGATAAAAAGTTTGAGGTTTTGGTTTCTTTCTGTGAAAGAGGCCACAATGCAGCAACTCCAGCAACACTTGAAGGAAGATGAACAACTTTAATAATTGACCAACGCGTTTCGGCTTGTGGCCTTCATCAGGGTCATGAGGTGTCAACATGATTTTTCTCATGATCTTGTGTAATTTAATCGCTTGTTATATGATTTAAAACTGATCCAAATGTTCCAGTCAAGAAGGGAAATGTAAACATGATTGTGATTTAATGCAGGTGAAATATTGCTGGTCTTACTGCAAACAGATGAAAATTAGTAAACTGAAAAGTAGGGCTGGGCCATATCATACAGTTCATAATACTGGTATAACGTTAGGAATGATAAGAAAATGTCGATATTACGTGCTGCACAATAATGTTTAATATTTGGTATTTACTGTTATATTCCCATATATCATCGTGATGTTGTTTATTCTATTGCTCTCGTTTATTATTATTATTGCTTGTTTTCTTTTTTCTTTCTCAACAGGTGATCCAGGTGATCGATATATGTATTTTTTTTGTCTGCTTATTTAGTTGGTTTGTTTTTTTGCCCGTTATCCCCGTCCCTCTTCTCCACAGTTTTTTCCCCCTCTTCTTTTCTCCCTTTTCTTTTCCTCATTCAAGTCTGTCCCATATCTAGCAAGTGAAAATAAAAAATAAATAAAATAAACAATAAAAGGTGAATCAAATAGACCACTACAGCAAGGCTGGGATGGTCAATTTGGTAAAGTAAATCCGTTGGGCATCTTTCCTCACCTTTAGACAAGATTTCTGATGGCAAAAGAACCAAACGGGACAGGCGCAAAAAAAAAAGGAATGATAAGAAAATGGAATATGGCGATAGAATATGGGTAAAACGCGCATGTGCAGTGCCTTTGTTTTCATACGCACATGGCAGAAAAAGTAAGGCAGCAACGGAGAATGAGAAGGGCGAAAGCAGATCGTTAAATGAAACGGATGAACCAGAATTGGTTTGTAAAAATGCTGCAACTTCAGTGGTGTGGAACTGGTTTGGCTTTCGTCCGTCAGATACACAACAAAGCACATTTTTTGCGGCCCGTCGTTATTACCGTGTTTTTCGGAATCTAAGTCGCTCTTAAAATTCTTTGATTTTCTGAAAAATCGACAGTGCCTTATGTATGAATTCTGGTTGTGCTTACTGACCTCGAACCCATTTTATGTGGTACACGGCGCTCGAAAATCTGTCAAAAAATGTTTTAGTACAACTTTGAAGCTACGAAGCCGCACCGCTTGATGGATTGTCCGAGCATTATGGCTACCGTAGTCAGGAGCCTCGCTGAGTGATACGTACTGTGCTTCAACATAATATTACCGTATTGTGTGTGTATAACCTGTATAACCTTAAGTTTTGTGGATATTATACATGGTTCTGCTCAGGATATGTCGGCCAATTTCCACCGGAAATGCCTTTTGGTCAAACTGTCAGCAAGGAATTTGCATTTGCACTGTTACATTTTTATATAACTTTAATGCACATAAAAAAAAACAGCTGCTTGTTTAAGTAAAAATACATTGATGGGGGTTATTTGCACTAATAAAGTTGCGGAGTTGTAAAGTTTTTTGTCTCGCGTCAATTATATCGTCAGTTATATCATTATTGCAAATGTTCAAATATATATTGTGATAAATATTTTTGGCCATATTGCCCTACTGAAAAGAGTAAAATATAACTGTCACAGCAAACTCCTTATAGAAACAAATCTTACCACAGACATTTTGGTCATATTCTCTAGGCGACTAAATAGATGAATGAGAGCCATAAGCTCACTTTCAAGGGTCAGCAGGATATAAATATTGCACGAGTTTGTTTTTTTTAGCTTTAGCTTATACCTTTACCACGCATGCTGAAAGTTACACATTACAGCTTCTTTAACAGCTCAGTCCAAAGTTAGGATATGATCAATGACTCATGGCTCATCCCATAGACACAGGAAGCTGAGAGGAATAAGGACACTCAGCTGATTTTTTACTTCCATAACAAATGGATATATGTCAGTGCAACAATATGATTGGCTGTTGGGAGACAGGTGAGGTTGACGGCCATTATTAGAGTTACAAACTTCTCATATTCAGGATTTGTTGAGTCTCGTGTCTCTCCTTTATAAAGTCTCTAGTTTCAATAATGTTACTGGGGAGGCCAAACCATCACTCATAATGTTTAACTGTATGTTTCCAATCCAGGTATGCAGTGTATTTGGAATAATTTCCATGCTAATAAATGAAGCTGTTAACAATCAGATTCTTTCTAGATGTTACTGCATAGTGAATCGAAATCTGATGGTTCTATGTGTTGAGAGAGATGAGGCATTAATAATTAGTAGGAACTGAGAATGTACATTAATATTTATTCCCATAACCAACTTCCAAATACACACAGTGCTAGTCCAAACAGCTCCAAACCATAAAGATCTGCACTTCTAAAGGTAACCTGAGGCAGCAGAGACCACCCTCAGTTACTTTGAGGCATTTAGTGGAATTGGTTGTGAACGGTCATAATGTTTTGGCTTATCTGTCACACCCTGCAGGGGTCCTCTGGTGGAGTCACTGGAGGTCATCTGGCTGCAGCCATGGACGAAGGGACTCCACATCTACACAAAGTTAAAGAGAGACGGAGAGCAAGTCAGCGTCAAAACTATTAACAAGAAAGGAAAAAAAAACAAAACACTTCAACAAAAATTTCCATCTGCTGCTGTGAAGAGAGCAGCAGAAAAACTCTCAGAAGCAACAGCCGGTAGAAATTGTGCAGGAGGTGAAAACGAGCACGCAGGAACAGGCTGTGCCCATATTGTCACCACGGGGGAGGCTCAGACAGACCTGCTGCCTCATCGCTGAGAAAGAGTGTAAAAAGTCAATTGTTTGAGAATGAACTCTTTTAAAAAAAGATTTTAAAGTTTAAAATGATTACTTTAGGGTTTAAAATTGTTAACTGTTTGAATACTAATTCAAGTGATCATAGACAGTCTTTCACACTATTGCATCTCATTAACATATGGCAGGAGGTGTGTTTGAATTCATAGTGTACAGGATTTTCTGCATTTCACAGCTGTTACTTTACTGGCTGATTGACAAATGCTCACTAGTCCAAAAATGACTAATGAATGTGTTTTGTAGTTGTGTTTGTAATCTTTCTCTACTTATACGGTAGTGTCTAATGTGTCCTCTTAAGCAGGAGTGTCAGAACTAAGGCCCAGGTCCAGAATCGCTACGGCAAAGCTCAGGCCCCCTGGAAGGCTTTGGAAAATGTGAAGGATACATAAGTTTTGGACTTTAAATAGTAGATAAAGACTTAAATCAGATAAAAGTTATTGTTTTTTCACTATCGACTGTTGAAATTTCAAAACAAATAATACATTTTGTAACCACAGAACAGTCTGTGCCCAGAACTTTTTCTGTAATTTCACCCTTTTGCTTATTTCTTACAAATTAAGCCCAAAGTTTAGTGGTAACGGTTACTTTCATTTACTACAGCATTTTGTTATTGTGTAGAAAAACTGTGCCCTACTGCTGAAACTGCACTTCTTTTTTCTTATATTGAGATATCTCAGATTGAACGTGTAGTTTACACTGACAGAAAGAGGTCTGTTCTGATCCAAGTGGGCTGCATGCGGCCCACAGTGTAAAATAACATCCCTGCCCTGCAGAACCACACCAGACATTGCAAGACTATTTAGTGCAGCTGCACACTGATAAACTCACATGTACATATAGTGGGCTGGCCCTTTATTTGTGACTAAAGATAAGATTGCTTTATGTTTTTGTAAAAGTTCCACATAAAGTTAAATCAGTCAGATAAACAGTTGAGAGTAAGCAGATAGCATCTCTCTCATGCTGAGAGCAGAAAAGATTTTAATTCATCTTCTCAGTCAGTCAGCCTAAAGCTGATTAGCCCTAAGTGGACACACACTCGTCCCAATACAATGAAGAGCCAAGGCTAATAATATTACACCCCCTTTTTACACTGTTTTATACTTTTTCCACTATTGTTCGCTTGTAATTTTTTTTATTTATGAACTTAACGTGTTTGTTTTGGTACAACATGCACAAAAACCATATCCAAGAAAGAGCAACAGAGATGACCCCCATCGTACCGACCTAAAACGACGGGCTTTCCGGAGGGGACAGTCCCTCTCCTCCGGTCACTCCTCACTCTGCCCGCCGTACTCAGCCGTGCCGTTTATCGGGTATCTGTGAAATTCACCTGAACCGTTTTCTCCGTCTCTTTCCTCCGTTAATTCCGGGACGCTTCCCAGTGAGCGTGCAGGGATTTCAGAGCGTCACGACACGTCAGAAGACGGAACTCGCCAAAATAACAGCACATCTTGTTTAGAAATTCAACTTTCAAAATAAAAGCACACGTTACATTAGTTTTCATTTCCCGCTAATTTTTACGTCCTCTTTACACACTTTACCATTACTTCATTAAATTGGAGGCAAGTATTTGATTTATATCGGTTGTCCGATGTAGGGTTGCTTGCGAAACGCTTGAGGTACACCAAAAATTTCTCTAAAAACAAATTTGTCTTTTTAAAATTATTTTACACAAGCTACAGTCATGATTGAAATTTAAAATTATTAATGAGAAAATTAGTTCAGTAAATCTTCAATTTACTAGTTCAGTAAATTGAAGATTTACTGAACATCTGAAGAGGGAGAAAAACTTAAAAAAACAAAACAAAACAAAAAACCCTCAAAGCTGAACCTGCCTTTAGCTATAACATAAACCTTAAGGATTAAGACAATGAAGGAGCGAGACAGTCTTTATGCTAAGCCAAAGGGTTTATTACAATTTTCTACTGAACATGGATGTCACGATAAAGAATGTCAACAACATCTGAAGTACAGAAATCAGTCTCAGTATTTTTCAGCAATACGGTGAGCCAAAACAAATTTTCTAATGATCACATTTCTAGTTCGAACTAGTGTGGAGAAACTTATTCTTGTAATGGATGCAAGATAATACAGGAGTAGCTGAACTAATGAAATCGCTTAAATAATGAAACAGTTTTTCAGTGACTGATCCTTTTGATACGATTAGTAGCTTTTAATATCCTGTACTGATTTATGACATTTTAACTTGACGGTTATAACTCAGGGATAACAATTCAAAAGGTTGGAATTATGATCAAACAACCACAAATAAATTTAATTTGGACAAGTGAAACTGTAATATTGTTCCACTCTGAGCTATACTTTAGTAACATGCAGTGAGGAGAAAACCCATGCAAGTGAATTCATTTGTGTTTTCAGTCACTAACAAAGAAAAGAGGTTTTGAGGTCACAAGGCTAACAGACCAGGTTTGTTGCTATAACTTTAATGATTATAGTGCACTCATTTCAACATCCTTCAGTGCTTAGAATTATTGTATAAGCAGTAAAAGCCTCATATGGACTGGATTCACTGGGAAGGCAGTAGGTAATTTAAAGAAAAAAAAATGATAATGAAAGCAGCAGTTTCCCTGTTATGTCAATTAAATGTCGGAATTTTAAAATAGGCTTGCCTATCCTTCAAGGTTAAGTCACATTAAAGTAATAATGTAGTTATAGACATCACAGCTATTAAAAGAGCGAGACCCTGTAAAAGCTTCAATATGCTACTGCAGGGTAGATTTAGGTGTGTAGCCCCTTTCTCCTTTTCCCAACCACTTCTCCTTGAGGATCAGCAAGTTACAATTTGATTAAATTAAGAAAAACTGATTAAACTCAAAGAGCAAAATTGTGAATCTGATGCAGGTACTGACACTGGTATACTTTTATTGGTGCCACAATTTAAACCTAATTGGCTATGAGCCGCTACTGATTATAATAACCCTATAGACACAGAACTATCAATTCATATTGAAAAGTTAGAAATGTGAGTATTGAGTTTTTCCTAGCTGATTTATAACCAATACAAATGACAAATTGCTTTTCCCACCACCCCATCTAGATGACTTTGTTTATGCGCCGTTTGGAATAATGTCCTCATTTTCTACCTCGACCTGTACTGTCAATCCTGCCCAGATGAGGCTCACTATGATTAGAAATAGTATTAAAGAGGAAATGTATGCACAAACAAAAACAGTAGGAACCAGAAGAGTGCACACACACTCTATGAAGGACAATACCTATATGCACACAAAACAAAAGCCCAAAACAAATAAATAAAGTATAAAACTCTGGGAAACACTGTTCCCGATAAGTTGTTCCACTTTTCAAGTGAAATATGAGAGACACTGCTCTCGATAAATACACGTATACAAAAAACACACAATGGTAGGCAAAAACTACCGTCACTGTTTATCATTATGGAAGGCACTGCTCCCGATAATGCGGTTTAGTTATGGAAGGCACTGCTCCCGATAAAAATATTACAACTCATTAAATGCTCCAAAGTAGACAGTGCAACATAAAGGTCTCTTTGAGCTCGGAGGATTTAGTATTGTGCCTGAATTGCTTTTGTTTTGTTTTTTAAACCTTATTTGACATTCACTTTGTCACCAATTGCAGAATAAACCTCTTTGCTTGTGATAAATAAATAATTTTCCACAAACTGCAGACAATTTTTTTGTTTCCTTGCCAGCTTTAGTCAGGCATTGGAAAAATCTCATTAAATACATTTTTTTTTTTAATCTACCAAGATACAATTTTTTATACCCTTAATTTCTCCACAGATGCACTTATGTCAGTCTATTTGTGAAAGCCTGCTTTTACAGCAGCTCAACGCTAAAGGAAGAAAAAGAGGGTAGAAAGATTAAACTTTATCTGGGTCTTTTTTTCCCAGCAACATTTGGAGTCATTTCTGTAGCAGATACTGCCGTAGGTTTCGACAGTATAACCGTCATAATTATGGAAGACACTGCTTCCGATAATGTCGTATAAAAAGACAAACAGCTTTATAGTGGACACTGCCACTGATAAATAATTAAAAAAACAAATACATATAAGGTCTTTTAGTGCTTTGATGGCAAGTGGTCGCAGCAAGAGCTTCGAGTCTACTTGAGAGGAGGTGGATTTGTCAGTAGCATTTCATTTCTTCAAGTAATCCTTCTTCACAGTTTTCAGCCCTACACTTTAACACTGTCCTCTTCGAGACTATTTGTGGAATTGATTTGAATTCCCCTGAAATCTGAGCATGAGCCTATAACAAAGGTTGGGGTTTCTGATTAATGGCTTGTGCTTTTAAGTGCTGATATTGGAGCGCTATGATTTACTTTCCAAAAAATACACATGCAAACACACAACTCCCACCCTCACATCTCTGCGTCCCACCAATTTAAATTTCTTCATCGAGGTCCCAGATGTTTCCCACCATGGCATTGGCACATCCCTGCAAGTTCCAGGTGGCTAAGGCCAGCTGGGTGTGGAGTTTATCCACGTCAGTAGTCTCAGCAATGGACGCCAGAGTGTGGGAGCCTCGGCCAAACAGTAGGTGACGGAAGGGAACCTTAACAGGTGAGACGTATGGGGAGAGGAGGCTGTGCTCAACCTTTAGTTAAAAAAACAAAAATTCACATAATTAGTAACTACAGAATAGCTCTTGCTGATTTCTTCCTTGTGGTTCCAGAAAAGAATGCTAGACTAGGTGTAGAAAAAGAGTCCCAGCTTTTTATTCATTTCCATCAGCTGGGATATAAGACACCAGGACGTCACTAGACAGTAACTAACAGATAAGGTACCATAAAACAATGTCGGCCACTTGTGTAGATTGCATGCATTTCCATGCCATGCATGTTTGCACGTTGCAATAAATCGATGCACCCACTTACCATTTCTTCTATCAAAATATAAAGCAAGGAACCTTAGAACATTGTGTTCAAGATTTTTTGCACAATATTTTAAGTTGGGTCAAACCACATCACTAGTTTTTTTGTAATTAAAATACAAAATCCAGCATCTTGTAGTTTTTTTTGTTTTGTTTGTTTGTTTTAACTTAAAACTTCTGCTAAGTAACAAAATGGCATGTCTGAGCTTTTGGTTAATGACAATCTTGTGTAAACCAACATTTTCTGATGCGAGCACAGCACTGCAACACAGACGCCAAGCTTCATAATGAAGTTTGGTCTGTCAGCATCTGTGACATCTATAAACTGACTGAGCTTACAATTCCATGTGGCCTTAGTTTTCCTCTTTTAGTAAAAGAGGAAAACTAGGGCCACAGATGTTTTGCATGCTCGTCAAGCTCACAGTTGAGCTTTAGGTATTACAACTTACAAAAATTAGGAATGAGAGGGGAGAGACAAATTAGATTGAGGCTCAGCAAACCTGAACAAAGGAGGGGTACGGAGCAGAAAAGTATTTTCAAAATGTATAGTTTTTTTAAATTACAACACACGACCCAGCAGAGGTCTTGTAATACATGCATTACCATCATGATCCTGTTGTTGAGGATTCGACAGGCTTCTTTGTCATCCAAGTTGGTGTTGGCAATGTCATTGTAGAGGTTACTGGCAGCACGCTGGAAGGAGCCTCGTGCACGGTTCAACCAGCTGGGACTCAAATCCTTCACCAGACAAAACAAATATTCTTAATCACATGAAATTCATAACATGGATAAAAATGAAACAAAAAGAGTCAGGAAGACGCCAACCTGCGAGAGCAGCCGGATGTGTTTGTAGACGCCCGCCACAGCCTTGGTGAGAGTTTTGCTGTACCGGTTCACATCCAAGCTCAGCAGGTGGTCATGAACCAGGTGCAGGGCCATCTGACCAGCAAACTGCGCTGCTATCGCCGTGATCTCGTTGGTTTGATTGTTGGTTTCATAGTTAAGTTGGTCCATGGTGTCCAATTGAGTGCCATAATAAGTGTAGACCTCAGACTTAAGTGGAGAAACATACAGACAGTTCAATACACATCACTGTTTGCTTAATGTTTAAAACGACAAGCAGACTTTTTTTTGTTTGTTTGTTTGTTTGTTTTAAATATATAAATGAACCACCCCTCACATGTGGTTTGATGAAGTGAAAGGAGACTGAGGGAATTCCAGAGAAAGCCAAGAAGGGATAGGCTGGGTCATCTATTGTCATCGGTCTCATTCTGCATGCAGGGAAAGAAGAAGAAAAAAAAAATTGTTATTGTAGATGGGTAAAACAGAAAGAAACAAAGTAATCCCTGATTATCTGCTATGAAATAACTGCTTTAGAGTCATTTTTATAAGTGTTTAGACAGTTATTTTAAAAGGGGCCAATTATACTTATTTTTGGCTCTAGTAGAACAGCTTTGTAGGACTCACACTTATTAATATTTTTTAATCTTATACAGAGCCTTTGTGTAGTCACTCAGCTCATCCTGTCTGAAACGAGCCATTTTAGCTCCTCTTCCTTACTTCCAATTGGTTCCCCACTTTCGAACAGGTGGATTGGGGTTACAACCGGAATACCTGGGATGACCATATTAAGCAATATTCCACTCGTTATGGCATTCAGAGCCGTGTGAAGCTCAAGCTTTTGTCTCAAGAGGGTGGTTATAAAACTGCACCAACATGTGAAAATACCTGGATTCTGATAACTGGCAGAAATTTGCAAGCTTAAAGAACATCAGATTTCACTGATTATTAGAGTCGTTTTACTGTACAAACTATTTAAGATCACCTTTGCCAACTTTGAAAATATACATATTCTCACACACACACACACACACACACACACACACACACACACTTTAATTTTGCCTACATAAAAACTTCGACTTGCAAATGTATATTTAATGTTTTAGGACTAGCTCATCAGCCAGATAGTTTAATAAATGAAGGTGTGCAATCTCAGAGTACAATCAATCATCATCAGTCAAATATTGTCCAGGGGCCTGTTTATAGTAAATCCATTTGTCCCTTCATATGCAAGAGTGTTCCTCTCTATTACTTGACTAAAGTTTTATGCACTGTGGTTCATTTCACTACACTGGTTTCCTACTTACACATTAGCCTCCCACATTGTTTCTCCTGCCATGTCGTACACCGTGCCAGCACCAACAGGACTATTAACCTTTAAGAACAAGGCAGATTACAGTCAGCACAAACTATCCATTTGTACGAAACGTGTATCACTATGAATCAGTGTAATACCTCTTTCATCGTGGTCTCAAGGAGGCTGTAGAGCAGTGGACTTGCTGAGGCCATAAAGCCCCCCTTACCTTGTAAAGGAGAGAAAAAAAAAACGAAAAAAATAAATAAATAAATTAAACACACACACACACACACACACACACACACACACACACACACACACACACACACACACACACACACACACACACACACACAAAAGAGGTCAACTGACAAATGCCACCGTTTAAGTGCTGAGATGTCCTGCATGTGTAAATTTGTCTACATACCCATGACAACCCCATCCAGGCTTATGTAGGTGAACACTTTTTTGTCAATAGAGGCCATATAACCCTTAAAAAGGAAACAAAACAAACAAACAGATGAGACATGTTAAAACACTATCAACACAGCAGGCATTTCCTTTCAAAAGGTATTCAGTTCTCACCTCCAGCCACTCTGTAGCGCCAACACTTCCATATTCTCCTGCACTCCAGCTCGCAAACACCAGGCTTCTCTTGGGCCTGAACCCATCTATAGACGACATGATACTTCTTGCACTGCAGTCCAGTGTACCCAGTCCCACCAACTGTTGTTTGTATAGCATTTTGTTTTTATTCCTTACCATTCTCGACCATTTCACGGAAAGCTTTGGCCAGCTGCACCAGTACTGAGGTGCCAACAGTGGCTCTGGCGTAGCCGCTACCCCAGGCATCCCTCTGAGCTCCCAGTACAATGTAGCGATCTGCAGATTCATGAACAAATCCATCTTAATGTCACACGTCTTGGCCTAAGAATAAGCAAAAGCTAAGTCACGCCAAATAAAAGTTTAGTCTTACCAGGATCATCAAATCCTTTGATCACCCCAAACACATTATGGATCTCCTTGTTCACCAGCTTGTTGTTGACCTCAACAGTGATGTTCTCAACGCCTCCCAGCCTGTAAGACACTTGCTTGAATCCACCTTTAAAACCACTTGTTTCATCTGGTTCAGGACCACCAATTTTCCTAAAAGAACACAAATGAAAAAAGTTTTAACTGTGGCAGATATATACTGAACTGAGGTGTCTGGCAGCTGTCCTGTTTAACTGATGCTGAGCCATGATCATCATGGTCATCACACAGTGGGTAAACATGAATGTTTCTTAATCTGTAGAACACTGTTCATGTCTGCATTGATCTGTGTGTGGCCTTACTGAAGAAGTTTTACAGCAACACTGCGGGTGAGAGTCTGGGCTGGGATTTTGGGGAGGCCAGATGACTGAGTTGGGGGAAACTGGGTGTGGTTAAAGGAGGGGAATCCAGGGGTGTAGGGGTCACCTGAGCCCAGATGGACCTGAAGGGGACATGAAAACACAGATTCAGGTAAAGGGGGGAAAAAAAAAAAAAAAAAAAAAATTCCACTATCATAACAAAACAACACTTTACTGCCTACTTGACTTATTTTACAAACTCACATGTCCATAGAGCACAGTGTCAGCTACATAATTGTAATCAGCTTCATCGGGGTAGATCAGAACAGCAGACGCCCCTCTATCTGCAGCATTGGCCACCTGAAAGAAGGAAAAAAAACAAAAACAAAAAAAAACTAAATTTTGTTCCTGGAACAAAACCTGCTCGTCAGCTTCCTTAATGTAAATGCATCTCAAAGCCTTCCAAGTGAAGGCTGATCAATGTAAAAGATAAAAGTTTAAGCCGAATTAAATTGAAAGTTTTTCAATTTAAAGAAAACTTTGACAACCAGCTGTGAGTAACTGAACCCATTTCCTCAAAGTTGCAGTTAAATTTGAGTTACTCACAAGTAGAATTCATTTTTCTAACGCTTCACTCTGCTGCCCTACCTACACCATCTTCATCATGCACACATACCTGCTCTGCAAAACTGATCTTTCCAGCACGGACGAGCAGCACGCAGCCTTTTAACTCAACCTTATTTTTATTCACGATATCCAGGTCCTCTTTACGCCCATAGTTGCCGTACACAAGTTTGCCCTGTAAATACCAATTAATAGCAGTTAGTTAAATTAACAAGATACACAAGGTTTCTGAACAACAGTCCTAACTACAAATCTTCTGACATTCGTGGTTTGTGTCACAGGTTTCAGAAAGTGAAACTAAGGTGGTTCTTTGCCAAAGCTTTAGGCTCACCTGAACTCTGTCTGTAGCGCTGTAGGCCAGATACCCAGTAAGGCTGAAATCTTCTGAACCAAACTGAACCTTGTTTGGATTCTGGCTGCAAAGGAGAAGGCAAGAACCTGTTAAAAATTATTTTCCTTGGACACACTTTATTTTACAGGTTTGTGACATTTCAATCCATTTCTCGTCACAAACATGCATGTGTGTTCCAGTGTTTATTTAACAAATATACAACTTATAATGAAGCATTAGAAAATGTCAATGGACAAATCCAGGTGTAATTTGTAGAATTTTTTTTTTTTGATTTTGTAACTCCTCCTTTTACACTAAACAGTTTGCCGTGCAAAACTCAAATCAGGAAATCACAGAGATAGAAAGCCTCCCTCTGATTTAATGCCACAATCATTTAATTAAATAAAAAACTTTTTCTTTTTTTTAAAGTTCCAGGTACCTGTCTGGGATCGGCAGCTGAACATCGTGGATGTCTGTCCAGGGATCCATCTCTAGTTTCTTGAATTCATCAAAGATGCTGTTTGCCAAACTCATGTCTTTATCACTTCCTGCTGAACACCCGGGATTTTCAAAGTCCCTGCAGAAAGGACATCTTATTTACTTTTTCTGTTGGCATCTCAATTTAGTCTTGAAATGATTGACATTAAATGTGTGTTTGGTTTGAAGGTGTGTGCATATTCAGTGTACCCTAGAGTCTTTTGAAAGGCCTCCCTGGTCATTTTCCTCGCAAGAAGTTGAGAGATGTTCTTGAAGTCCATCTCAACCTCTGCAGGTTGTGCAACCGGAGCTTGTGTCACTGGGCTGCAGTTCAGCAACTCCACTTTAGGTTTACTGTGACTGATATAACCAACCAGATAGCCTGGAAGAAACAGCACACACCAAAACCGATTAAAATGTAGTACATACAAAGTACATAAAGAGAGTCATTTTCCTTTCTGTAGACTTTGATTAGTATAAGAGGTTTTCAGAGCACAACCTACCAACGATCAATATCAGCAGGGTTCCCAGGAGCAGGAAGGCAATGGAACACCGGCTATAATTTTGAGGTGCCGGCCTGAAGCTTGGTGAGCCCTCGGCCTCCACGTCTGTAAACTCCTCAGTGCCATCTTCAGACAGTTTGACCTCCAGATGCCTTTCTCCATTCTCTGTGGGCTGCAGGGGGAACCTGCTGTAACGCACACTTCTAACCTGGAGAAGATCAGAGTGAAAACTATGAGAGCGACACGCTCCAGATTCAGCAGCTCCATAAGTAGTGACAATGCTACAGTTGTTTTTAATTAATAAAAAACAAACAAACAAACAAACAAAAAAGCTAAACAAAGCTTGTCACTTTGCGATTGCTTCCGTTTTATCAGTTTGCTCATGATACAAACAATGATAAAGACGTGACAATGTGCAAAATGTAGGCTGTGAACGTACCACGCCGTTAAACGCCAATCTCATCTGATCCATCGCTCCTGGTTTTGTTGTTGTTCTAAAAACAGAATATAGGACAAAGAGGCGATGAGGCAGTGGGCAGCAAAGAGAGAGAGGCCAGGAGAGCACACGAGAGAGAAGGGAGGGGGGGGAAAAAAAAAGAAAAAAGAAAAAGGAGGACGTGCAGCAAGTCAGGTAACAGAGCAGCTATTCATGGAATTGCAGGGTGGAGTGTTTCCTCTACACTAACTGCCTTAAAAACCTTATTTTATATACAGTAAAACCTTGTTTTATATACACAGTATTCTCGATCTGAGCTGTGGATCACACAGGATTTGGCTTTTCTGGTTGTTTTTGGGAATGCAAAGAATGCAAATATGTGCAGGAAAGACTTGGACGATAATGGAGGAGACACAAATCCCTTAGGGGGGTCAGGAAGGACATCTGGTATCAAAAAAAAAAAAAAAAAGCCAGCACAGAGCTGCAGGGGCTGTCTCCTGTGGTCCCGCACAGACGACAAGTTAACAGAAAATAAGTAATTGAGCCAGTTCTCAAGTAAAATAAGGATAAAGAATAGTATTCAATTGTCTTTACAGTACCATGCAGTTTACAGCTCTGCTTGGCATATAATACTGTGTCACCTTATGAAGGCTGTGCTGTTTGTTGTTGAAATTTGTTTTATTAACACTGTGTGGATCAAAGTGCATATAGAGTGAGAATCTGTTTAACTATATACTCTGTATAAGGGAAGAATGAGATCTGTGCAGTGCAGAATTACAGCATCTCTTTCTGCTATCCAGCCCTCTCATCTACAAGATGTGGGCCTGTAACAAACAGGAGCAGCCTGCTTCTTAATATATTACATCCAGCAGTTAACCAGCGCACCCAATGATTGGCACGAGTGGTTCATACTAGCAATGTTTAGTTTTCTAATCAACTTACAGGGGAGTAATATTACAGCCAGTACTAAAGATGTAATAGTTTATGTCTCTCTGCTGGACAAACTGTACTGAAATGAAACTATGGAACATTATCATACCAGCAAACATCAGAAAAAAAACCAACTAATTGTTGGTCGACTAATATCAGTGACCAAGTTTATCACATAAAGGCACCACACAACAAAAACGTTTCATCATTTTTTTTGGCATTTAAGAACACCAAGAACGTAACCAGGAAATATATACTGAAAAAATAACCTAAAAATATTTGTGCTATCTAAATGATGTCTACTTCCTTATTTAGATAGCACAAATATTTTTAGGTTATTTACTAATCTTTCTATTGAAACATGCCATGTGTGGTTTACTCAAAGGAGGAAGATTTCCCCATGTGTCACGTCCTTTGAAGACATTTTGTCAGCCTGCAGATAATACAAGTACTTCCTGCTGCAGTGCATCTTACAGCCAGCAAGTAGCTTAGTTTAATTCAATGATCTTCAAATAAATCCTCCCTCCATTAAGGATAAGGCTTACATACATTTATAAAACATTACCAGAGCAAGCAGGAATGAAGCAAGAATTTTACCCCTGATTTTGTGTGTTCATGTTCTGTTCTTTTGTATACTTCATCTGTTTGTATGTTGTATACTCGTTGTTTTTCCAATAAAGTTCATTAAAATAAATAAAGTCACACACACACAACAGCCACACACACACACACACATACATAACACATAAAGTTCATATAAAAATACACACACACACACACATACACACAACACACACACACACACACACACACATATGAATATATGAATAGTTCTAAAACAAGAAGCCGTTGGGGAGTGGTTCCTGAAGGTTACATCATGTACCAGCTCTAAATGAACTGGCCCAAGCTTAATAATAACGCAGAATGCGTTATTATTAAGATTGGGCAAAAAATAAAAGCATTACATATGTTTTACGCCTAACTATAACAGTGAAACATGGTGGCAAGAGAGTGCATTGAAAAGCCAGGTGACATTGCACACTATTAAGATAATTAGCAAAACGTTCGTTTAACACATATTCTGAGCCATTGCTTCACAGGAATCGAATGAAACGCACTACAGCTAAAGAAAAGGCTTTCTTTTCAAAATTAAAATACATTCGCGAATGATTGATTATTATAAGACCAAAGCGAGGACCCTCACCTCCGTTCCACAACGTCCGCCTCCTTACTGAAAAGATTCCTTTCTTTATAAAGCTGTGCCACTTCCGGGTCGTCTGTTAACACACATGCGCAGAGCCTGTGATTTGATGTGCGGAGAAATGTGTTATACATCTGTACAAGTATACAAGTATAATTTAATGAACAACTTAAAATTATCTCAGGAAAATTTACTGATTTTTTTTTAGTTGTTTGGGTTTTGTTTTTTCTGTTACGTATGTTTAATAAGTTTGGATAAAGAAAAAATTAAACAGAGCTTTTCTGCCTCCAAAAATTACACCTTTAAACTGTAACTTTGTGATACTAATAAATGTATATGTATTTTTTTCACATTATTTTTTAAAAATTGCATGACATGGTAATAGTACATGAGCTACACAAAAATGTAATAATTAAATAATTATCCAGGTTTATCTTTTGCAGTGTCTCCATTAGAAATAATGTTATATGCCACTGCTATTATTTTATTTTACAGCCCATTTATGGAGCAACATCTATACTATTTTAATTTTTACGTCTATTGACATTATATTTGTGTTAACCTTACGATAGACTAGCAACCTGTCCAGGATCATATAACCCTCCACGGTGTCCAAGGACAACCCTCACTAGGGTTTAAATACCTGGGACTCCCCCACCTGCCAAAACCTGGATCACTGATAACCTACACATATATATGTAGCTTTTAGCATGATTAGTTGATCCAGTATGAACTTTTGGTACCATTTACCATAATTAAAGAATTACAATGTATTTATGTATTTCAACAAGTAACAATTGGACCCTTAGAAAACGTTTGTACTTAATAGCTTTCCCACAGTTTTATTTGTCCATTACTTTTAAAAGGTTGTGGCTATTTTTCTTCTGATCTTGTGCAGTGTAGCACTTGTAGTACATTACAAAACTCGCCATTGTTAGCAGTGCTGAGAAATATGCTTTATTAAGTGGGTGGAGTTTGAAATAATGAACCTGGATTGTTGAGGCCAGGCTTCACATACCACACGACACCAATGCTTCTGTGAATAATGACTGAATTGTTGGCATGCTCTGTTCCTTCATTTTTATTTATTTTTTTAATCAAATGCCTTTTGTAGTCTACTTCCTTTTACCAAAACAAGCAGGACAGGAGGAACAAAATACTGAACAAGCACACATTTATAATTACGCCTCATTACTAACAACCACCCACTATAATACAAATGAATGGGAAATCATGCTGCTGTACACAGCCATCTGTGGAAGACACTTACAGTAACTTTAGCTCATTCTGTGATGTGAATACTGTGACGTATCCATGTGATGTGGTTAATGCTGGCCTGAGAAGACATTTCAGTCATCCACTCATGTGACAATTGTTTCTTCTCACTGAAACGGATCTAATTAGATCTGTAACATCAAAGACCTCCACGGCACCCTCTCTTTTTAAAAAAAAAAAAAAAGTACTTTTATTTGTATTTAACAGTTAAAAAAAGCAAACAAATAACCAAACAATGCAGTTTGGTATTCAAACCATCAACAAGGATTTAAACAAATTTCCTAAAAACTAAAAAGACATTTATAGTCATGTTGTACCAAGAGAATCTTTAAAACCTGTAGAACTCCAAAACAGTGTAAATGAAAAATCCATATACTTCTGCACCTTCTTATTGCTTGAATGCTTCAATTGCTTGACTGGTATTTTCATGAATGTAAAAAAAAAAAACAAGGAGGAAAAACTACTTTTTAACAGGAAGAAATGTCAGACAGAGCTAGGTTCAGGAAGGGGCAGCCATTTGTCATTAACAGTTGAGGGTGACAGATTATTTCATTGCTTTATTGTTCTGGAAGTTTTCCCATCAGAATTTTTGCAGAATGTCTACATGTGGTGAGGGCTTAAAGAGACAGGAACTTGGTAAACAGCTTCTTTAGGCTGATATCTCTATTTAACACAATGATAAAGGTTTGTATGCTGATACCTTTTGGAGGTTTTTTATATTAAGCTTAAAAATAAAAAAAATGAAATTTTATTTCATGTTTTAAGTATTTTTATATGATTTGATGCATATTTTATACATGTAGTTTTAGCATCTATTTAAATTAACTTAATTTAGAACATTCTTGAAGATAACTACCCAAGTAAGTGCCAAGAGATATTTCTTAGTTTCCTGATGAGCAACTTGCTTTTCAGCAAACTTTTCTCTCAGTTGCAACCATCAGACATGCTTTAGTGTTATGAAACCAAGATCAAGCTCTTAGGGCAATTTGTTGAGATGCACAAACAGTCTTGTAGAACTCTTAAGATTTAATGCATTCATGAAAAAAAGCTAAGCAAATGGTAGTAAAACTATAATCTAATGCATAATATAGTGCAAGTATTTTAATACTTAATATCAGTAGCCACAAACAAGATGTTGCTTTTGCCATCCCGGTCCCACCTTTAGTCCCATCCTTGCAGATAAAAGCGATCAAGATTTTCTCAAATGCAGCTTTTTATTTTTTTTTATATTTGATGTACAAAATCCCCCAAAAGGTGCTAGAAATCCTTCCCACAGTATTAGGAACTCTTGTTATGTTTTTCTACATTTACAGTAGAGGGCAAACTATAACTAAGGCTGAATCCATTATGTAATACCAACCCTCCGCCAGATGGGGTCACCTTAGTGCTTTGTGATAAATTATTTTTCTCTGGAGGATAATAACCACCATCTCTGATGATAAAACAATTCTTCATCCTTAAAGCAGCAGCATCAATGTGTGTGAGAAAACATCCTGTTGACACTGAGACAGTAAAAACTAACAGTGTTGCATTTTGTTGATGTCTGTTATGGCATTAAATTTGTGACATTTCAACTCCCACTGTGACTATGGTTCATTAAATGACACCATTAAAAACAAAAAAAACAAATAAACATTAACATTGATTTAAATTACTTAAGTGATGTAATAGAATTAAAATAGAAACGTAGGAGACTGAAGACGTAATCAAGTCGTTTGTGAAAATAAAGGTTCTTCTTTTTGATAACGATATTGAATTAGTTACAAATTCTGTATTGCCATTTAGCATAAAAGTAATAAAAAGATCAAAAGTCAATATCATAGGCAACTTCATTATCAATTCTGAAATATGTACAAAACATACACAGGACCGAAACATCATTTCCCCCTAACTAGCATGTGCAAGTCGAAGCTTATCATCAAGTTACGAGAGTATGAAATGTAGATGTGAACATAAATATCTGTAAGTATGAGTTATGTCGTTAAAAAGCTACTTAAATTATCAAAATTAAACTACTTAGTATGCAGAATAATCTCTGCCGATGCTATATTTATATATGTAAATGTTATTTTCTCCTGCTCCCTTTTTCACAAGGGGTTGCCAAAGGGCTTAGCTCTGCATATTTGAATTGGCAGATTTTTTTTAACCAGATGCCCTTGCTGAATGAATCATTATTAATGATGTATAAATATGAATGCATTTCAGTCCTACAATCCCACATACCATAGGGCAACGGCATTAGTCAGCATATCAAATGCATTTGAGAAGAGCTTTTGTATTTGATGCTTTTCTTTTCATTTCAACTAAACATGTAATATTTAAGAATCCTTACTTGTTTCAAAATGTGTGATTTATTTATAAAGTTTTGGAATAATTAGAAAATTAGTGGCTTTGAAATTGTAAATATGAATGACATTTTTTGACTTGAAAGATTTGCAGTAACCCTGACAACAATATTGTCAAGTCAATATGGGAAACAGCTAATAACATGTTGTTTAAGTACTACATTCTTTCCACATTATGATTTAATAACACAAGAAGACACAAAAATAAGCAAATCAATCAAAAAACTTGTTAAGCAGCTTGTTTCAGGTTCACTAATAGCTAAAAGAAAAGAGCATAAGCGTCTTTTTTCCCCCTCTCTTTGAAGCTAAGCTAATGTTGGCTGGTGCTTCATGGTTGTCATGGTAATCACAGTAAATTTGTAGCATTCTCATCCAACCCTTGGCCAGAAATACTGAATCTGAAGATTATTTTGGTGTCTTACACAAAACAGGAGTGTTGTATTGTTTTCTTTTATACTTAATAATATATCACATGCCACTCTAGTTTACAGCAGATAGAAGCTTGCAGCACTGTATCCACAAAATCCCTCACACATGCAAGTCAAGGTCAGACAACTATCCCTGGCGTCACGAACACCTGAGATGCGTTGACAAATATAGCCTATCTACATTCATGTGAATGCCATTTCTACGGCGTACTACAATTTATCATATCAGATCTCCTTTGTTGTCAGTAGAGCAGCTTGTTCTGTCAATGTACGCCAACTAAGTCGCAGCTGATTGTGAGAAAGAATCCTGGTCTCTTTCTGTCCGATATCTGCTGCATCATTTCATCGCCCTCTTTCTGCTGCTGCCAGCACATTCTCCCCTACATGTGGTTTGATCCAGAGAGGGCAACAGCACTGCATCAGCATGGTGTGAGAGAGCGTAATTATGTGTTTGATGGTGTATAAAAGTCTGAATACTGTCTCTCACAATCAGAACACTATATTACAGTCAGCATATTGTGTCTTTCACGTTAATTTTGGAACAGCCTTATTCATCAGCAGAGGCCAAAGGCAAGGTGGAGGTCTGGAAACACTCTTATTTCTTAGCAGGATTAAGCAAAAAATAAATAAAAAATGCCAGCCTGAATTTCATAAAAGTTGCTTGACAAGTTGAATATGGGCACAGGGAAAAACCCGTTATTTGCAGATACCAAATATGTCTTTGGCACTCGCATAGGCACAGGATGTGTTTTCCAAGGTTCTTCGCAGTTACAGTTGGTTGTCTAGAAATTTGAGCTTACACAGGTGTGAGACTTTGAGCTCACACCAACTTCAAAGGCTGTTGGAAATATTGACATATTTACTGAAACCCACATAAACTACCCAGATCCGGAGTGTTCTTATTTTTAGAGAAAAGGCATTTCAGAAAATGCTATTTTCCAAGTGAATCCATTTTTCCAAGTATTGAGGGATGAATGTGCAGATTTGGATGAATTGGTTACAGAAAATATTTATTTTATTTGTAAAATGATTGCAAATATAACTGTTATTTAATGTAATACAATGGTATTCTCTTTATGTTATTACATAAATATTTTTTTTCTGCATCCAGATTTCTTAAGCTCAAAATCCTAAAGATTGAGTAGGTTAAAACCTATCTTTCTTATGCTCTGTAGCACTTTTTAAGCATCAATGCAACGATGCAATGGCCAAACAAACAAGCAGAACAAACCAGTTGATAGTATTTGTCCAAGATGGAGCAGTAAATCAGAGGAAGCAGAAAATTACTGGATGGAATAGGGGACTGTAAGATGTTGGTGGTCATCAACCCGTTTACAATTCCTCTAGAAATTCCCATCACCTACTTGAGGCGAGACTTGCGGCTCTGATCTAAACACAAATGACCTACTTTGTCAAACCCACAGTCCCTTGTGACAGTACATTTGAGAGGAAGATGTTCTGGTAGCAAATTGCATGGAAGTAGTGCAGCAAGGCTTGAAAGAGAAAATCTTCCCAGGGGAATTTGCAAGCAGGGGCTTTGCAGGAACATCCACAATAAAACCACATAAGGACCTGGGGATGAAAGTATAAGTAAACCATCAAGACAACATCAGAGGTGGCAGAAAGCTGCAGTCAGCAGCTGCAGTAGAAAAGAAATGATCAATGTTGGGCAGGAAAGTGAGCAGACTGTGGAAAACCTGGGGTAGATAGTTGTAGGATCCCAGAACTCACAGAACACCGAGGATGTTGGGACACCCACTGACATCCCAAATAACAGGTTTTCATAGCTCCACAACCCTCCAACAGGTGCTGCCAACTCTGAATGATAGAGGAAGGGCAAGTTAGCACATCTCTAAACAAATAGGCCTCACCTGCTGTCTTTTATTGTTTCATTTCAGATCTAATGTGGTTGAATAAACAGTCGAAATTCTAAAATTTATGTCAAAGGTTTACATAACCTATCAATAAAAGTAGTCAGAGTGTTCAGCTATATAATACACATAGAGGCTGTCAGAAATCCACCTGCACGCACTGTGCACACAATGCTGTGAAAAAGCATTGACAGCATTTCGAAAGTTTTTTCTTTGCGTTTTTGTTTCAGATCCAATGAATCTCAGTGTTAGACAAAGATGACCTGAGTAAATGTTGATTCAGTTTTGATATAACGGGAAACGGCTGTCCTGACCTACCTGGTCCCATGTGAAAAAGTCATTTTCTCCTAAATCTGGTTGTGCCACTCTTGGCACCAAGAACTGTTTGTTTGTGTTTTGTTTGTGTTTTTTTTTTTTTTTTTACCATGAGGCGAATGTCGTAAATTTGAGGTATTTAAACAGGATTTTTATTCAAACTGGCTGTATGAGATGAAACTGCTTTAAAAGGTTTCTAACATAAACTTGATCAAATGTGGGAATCCTTCCATAGACCTCAGTTCTTCTCTTAACTTACCTGACTTCCATTCGTCGTTCTGATATTTACTGAAAAGTAGTCACATGTGATGTCAAAACAAAAAACAAGCAAAAAAACAAAAAACAAACCCATGTTACACTTTCCATTGCACTGCACAGCGCGTTTTTTGGGTGTTGGGATTTCCTGTCCCATAACACAGAATTTGTCCCTGCGCCATCTGCTCCGAGTACATCACGCGTGGTGCAACACATTGCGTCACAGCGTGTTCGTAACGTACCCTCCTGCTGTGGCTAAATACGAATGGGGAAGTCAGAGTTTACACGGTGCAATTGAAGGCAACGCGGGAGAGAGAGGGAGAGAGAGAGATTCGTTCATCAGCTCCTTTTCCGTCTCTGGTCACTCGCTCTGCCTCCTCTGCCGTGTCACCGGAGATAAAAAGAAAAAAAAAGAAAAAAAAGAGGAAGGAATATGGTTTCGTGTGACGCTCCTCCCGTTTCAGCAGCACTGCTGTAGCGGATCTGTAGCACGAGCAGGAGGCTGGGGCTCGGTCCGGCGCAAACCCCCTTTATACCTGAAACAACCGCCTTCCCCGTTACCGAGCAGGCTGCAGGAGCACTACCAGCACACCGGGACACATAAATGGGTAAGGTGACGCTTTTTTCCTCTCTCTCTCTTTTTATTAGCTTGTTCTTTGTAGAAATTCCCAGAATAGCCTCCAGTGCCTCTGCGCATCTGGATGGGGACAGGAATCAACCTCCGGTCCAGATGCGCGCAGGGTTCAGCCTCTCTCCTTCCTCCCCACCTCACCTCCCCTGACGTCGCTCCATGCATAGCAGGGCTGTTTCGAAGGCGACCGCAGGCTCGGGGTTGTACTCTCGCACATCAGGCTTTATTCACGATTAGAAAGCCCGCGCGTGGGAGTTGCAGCGCGTCCGCACGGGAGCGATTTTAGGAAAGCAGCGCCGGGTAGCATTGATGAGTTGCAGATGTTGACACGTTTACATTCGCTCTCTGTCTGTCTGCCCATTGTGTCCCACGAAGTCTCCCCAGCTCTGTGGATGAAACAGGCCTTACCGTTCTCATCATCGCCATTATTTCCCACGGCACTGCGTTGTTGCACGCAATTCATGACTATTAATTACCCACAGAGTCCGCGGACGAGTAATCAATTACAAGTACAAATGAGCGGATTGTCTCACAGGCGTCATGCAGACTCGGAGGTTCAACTTTGGTTTCCATGCTACTTTCCCCCCTCTTTTTTAAAATCTCTAAAAGAATTCCTTATATTTATTATTTGAACGGCTGACTCACAGATCAGCAGCACTCTCTACAATTCTGAGCAGTAATTAAGATATTTTGCAGATATTTTCCAGTTACATCCTATTGCTTTTAAATACTTTTTTTTTTTTTTTTAATTGGAGGTCTCTCTCTGCAGGCACGTAAACAAACAATACAAGGCTGACCTCAGGGGAAACACGCTTATAAACAACTTTCAATGCTGGAATGCCAACTGGGGAAAGCAGTAAATTACCCCAGAGGCCCACAAATCCCTGTAGTCACTATGTTAAGGTGTTCGGCTTTTAAACAGATCATAAATATGGTGTATGGGAAATGTTTACAGGTTAAGAATTCACCACTAACACGGTGCACAGTCTCTTAGTTCATTCTTTTTATAGGTTACAGGATGACTCATTCACACAAACTGCTGCTTAAAAGAGAAAAAGACAGTAAAAGAGCAGACGGATATGACCTTTTACAGTGCAAATGAGCTTTTTTTAAACCCAGTAAGCCTTATTGGTTAAATATATAACAAACCAATCTGTTGTTGTTGTTGTTAATCCACTCAAGTTAAATTAAATAATTTTTAATCAGCCAGGACATGTTTGACCTTATAGCTGTCATTAAATCACTTTTAATTGTTCAAACATACATGCCAATTAAGTAGCATTTAAGGTGGGTTGGAGTAGGCTTCTTTTCTCTGGAAGAAGACACTGTGCTGGTAATTTTTATACAGTATTCTAGCCCTTCATCCATGGTTGGTTTTTGATTTAGCCATGTGTTAAGAGAAAAAAGCATATTCTCAGAAACTAGAAGGTGTTTTTTTTTTTCAAAGCTTTAATAAAAAAAGGGTATGAACCTAACCTCGCCCTTAACTGAAGATGGATCGGCATCGATTTGCTGGACGTTTACAGGTTAAGAATTATTATTAAGTTAATTGGTTAATTACTCAACTCCAAGGTATTGTCCTGAACTACACCTGGAGTATTGTGTCCAGGTTTTACATTTACTTTGAACAAACACTAGGGTGGTCAAATATGAGAAACACCTCTGACTGTACAACCTGAGTGCCAACTATGGTTTTTGATGATTAACATATCAATAACAGCCTTTATTGAAGAAGTGCTAGAATGATTCAATTAGACCGAAACCTAACTCTCTGTGACCACCTGAAATGTAGCATTTTGCAAATGTTTTCTGGTTAAAAAGATAGTTAGCTGAGCAACCAAGGATATCAAGTTTATGTATATATAGTGCAGTCAACTGAAAATCCTGAGTTATGATAACTTTAGATAGCTCGCCTCTTGTGAATTTCATAGCTCAGGCCACTGGGTGTAGTTCCTAAGTGACACTGTGTGCCAAGGGACTCTAAACATCGTAAGTATTTTTAACTTAAGCACTTGAATTCGTAATGAACTCATTAGTGATGTTTAATTTGACAAACATCTAATCACCCTTGGATTGAGCAGCTAGATAAACTCAGAGTATGTCATCTCTTAGTTAGGTAAACATAAAAACCTACAATTTTTATAACCTTTCAGCATCAGTAAACAAGTATTTGTATATTTAACTGCGTTTATTTACATTCGTAGTTTCACTTCATATTTTTCTCTGGGCATCTACACCCCCATTCTGCAGTGGCCTTATAGTTTGAGAAAGCTTGCGTGCTTACTTGTTTGCGTGTTCCTGCACACATCGTACAAAATGAAGGCCCAGACATCAGGCTTACAGTGGATTGCAGCTTTGTGTAATGCTTCAGTTATCAGGGAAAAAATAAAAAGTGTCAGACATTCTTCTCTTTAACCTTCAGAGGCTCAAAAGTGTAGTAATAAAAAGGCTTTCTTTCTTCTTTTTTTTTTAAGTCTTTACATTTTGTGCATTCAACCATTAAACACAAAGACACGCAATGTGTTAATATATGCAAGTTTCACTACTGGCATTATGTTACTGTTTGGCCAAGAGCTGTTTCACTTTTGTCGTCTGAAACTGAAAAGCTTTCTCTCTCTTCCTGCTTTTGTTGCCAGCATTGCTCACCTACGCTAAAACCCCAAGAGGAATGCACTTGGGGGTTATCACTGGGAGTTCTGGGAAATGAGAGCGCTGAGAAAGGGGCAGCTCGAGCTGGGGGTGAGATTAATAGATTTTTGTCACAAGATGCGCTCGACAGCAGAACGATGAGCGGAAAAGCGGCTGGAATTTCTCTTTAATGTGGGGGAATTTGCTGAAGCCTGTGATTTGATCCACAGTTGGAGTGGGTGGCTTTGACTCCCAGTGGGCTCCAGTCCAGAGTGAATGTTTTACAGAGAGCAACACACAGCTGCTCTTGACATCATCAGCCACAGCAGCACTGAAACTCACCCACAACTAAACACAAGTCCGCTATTAACCAGTGAAGTGGCTACACAGCTTTGCAAAGTTCACTGTGTCTGCATGTGTTGCTTCCTCTTATCTAAACTGTCTTCAGCTTTTCGGGGTATGCTGCGGGCCCATCTCGCTTCTTGTGCGAGGGTGTATTTCTTGACCGCTTGACTGGGAGTTTTATTTTGTCTGCAGGCTTTCAAATATTCACTCTTGTCTTCTCAAGGCTTTTTGTCAGTCTCCTTTTGCTCTGTACTGACAACGTATTACCAACTGCATGAGTATAGAACAGACAGACCACCACAGTCGATTAATCATTTCTTCTTTAAAACATCTCAAAATCGTTTGAAACTTCGGTTACTGTCACTCATGCAATGAAAACGTGCAGTTAGGAAGAGGAAGAGAATACTTAAACGTAATTATGATTTTGTCTGATATCTGCAGCTGATGTCTAAAGGCTGCAGGAGCATTAATTGTTAAGCTGTCAAAAATAGACTTCCTGTAACCAGAATCGCCTAAATTAACTGTAATTTTCACTGTTTCTCATCAAGAGTTTTATTGCATTTCATGGCACAGTGAACAATGACAGATACCCAACTAAGCCTCATGGTCTGCACTTGCATGGTGATTTATGACTAAAAGATAGACTGTATATAAAAGATAGCCCTTCAGAAGTCTCGGTTTCTTGTCGCTATTGTCGATATGGTCGCTACTGTCTGTTGAATTATGGTGGTTTCACTGAGATGCAGACAGATAAATAGTCACTTGTTGGGTGTTTGTAAATGATTAACCTCTGATAAAACTGCACTGCATTATCGCCACAGGCTAAAGTGATGCTCGCTGGCCCAGGTTGCATGTATGTTTTCCCCTTATAGCTGACAGGTTATCTGGATAAGAAACATATGTTCTGTTTATTTGCAGTTTATGCTCAGCGCTGTTTTCAGAGACAGACATTGGAAAATTTTGGAAAAAGCAGTGGTTCTTGTGTGTCATTGTCTGACTGCTTTGTGTGGAGGGCTACATCTTTGGCTAGCTTTTCAGTTGCTGTGTCACATTTTTGTATTCGAGAGTGCAGTTCTAAGGTTTAGGTAATGCTGGCATCTTATTTAGTAAGGTGTAACTATATACTCTCTACAGAGGTAGCATGTTAGTATTTCTCTTATTGAAAAAACTGGAATGGAGACCTCATCGCTGAGAAGTCCAGTTCTGCAATTCATATTAGGAGAAGTGACTTGTAGTAGATGCCTAGTTGTCTGGTAGAAAGCTAGCTGTCACGCAGAGCTACCATGCAGCTAATACTTTAATGGGTGAGACAAAAAAAGTAGTTCTTGCAGTGGGAAATAACCAATCCAGTCCAAAAGTATTTCTCTAAATGTGCTTTTTAACACTCTTAATGTGGAAGTCTATGGGTATTTACAAACTGGTCTCAAGTGGCTATTAGAGGAACTGCAGTTGTTGTCACTGATAAACATGTGCCACTCAACGCCATGTAACACATTGCTGCAAAAACAGCAGCAGTGTTATCTTTTATCATCGCTCTCATGGGCCATCAGACGAGCTCCCTTCATTGCCCTCTTGGCTCATTAGTGTTCTTTTCCCAGTCAAGCAAAAAACATGTATTGTTTCTAGAAAAGTGACAAAGGAAATCTAGATAAAGCCCTATTTTTTGAAACAATGATTCAAGTTCATATTCTGACTTCCTGCTTTTGAGACATATCAAATTCATCTTTAGAAAAACATACACGTGCATTATAATTCCCAAATTGTATAGCTGCACCAACACAAGCAAAAGAATCTAACAAAGTTAGGCGTAATCTTTGTGCGTGTGGTATTACCAAGGAATTTATATCTTAATATGTTATCTTTACAAGTCATTGCCGACATTTGAAACATGTCCTTGCTATCTCAATCCTCCTCACATCTCAGCATGCCATCCAGAGGTCAAACGAGGCGACTCCTAATGGGCTCTTTAACTAAAATACCCCCTGCAGCTGCCTGTATTCTTTTGGTTTTGGTGTTTTGGTGTTTACATATCTAAATACCCAAACCAATGATGTGTTACTCTAATGGGAATAAACAGTAGCTTTGCTGGGTCCTTTTAGTGCCACGGATTTAGCACAGAGGGCGGTGCATAAAGAATGTGTTTGTGGTACTGAAGGACTGTGTGATCCAGAGTAGCAGTGTGGTTTTTTGATGGGTTTCTTAATAGAGTTTGCACAACAATAAGGAATAAACATTATTAGACTGTGAGTGACAACTGGAACAATATATTTAATTTAGTGAATTTCCCTATTACGCCTTCTTACCTCATCTCTCTTTCCTTTTTCACTGTTTCCTGTCCGAGTCCGTCAACAG